GAGAAAGTGAAGAATAAACTTATACAAGAATGTATTTAGTTGTTTCATGAGTGTTATCAATAATCATTACTAAATTCTGATTATATAAGCAATCACTGAATGAATCAAATGAGACTGATTTTGATCTTCAGTCTCAGTCTCATTCTGATTTTGAAAGAATGATCATCTTTCATAGTTTATTCTGAGAAATTACTTTCATTTCACTGTTCTTGAATTAAATCTGGTCATTTTTCATGCCATTTCTCTCAGAAATGGTCCATTTTCAGATTTTTTTGAGGCTTGGTCCTGATGGGACTCACGCTAAGAAATGTATAGAATCAGATCAAATGAGATCAAATGTGAAATTCATGGTCCCGCCGGCCAGTCTAGTTATAGAGATCTTAGGTTTTTGAGAAGATTTAGTGTGTATTAATAGATTGAATGAATTTGAAGAAGTTGAAGAATTTGAAGATATTGTTTTTTCAGATATAGTGATGTTAGATGTGTGTGATGTGATAGCTGCATCAGCTTCAGTAGTGAATTTTTCTGAGATAGTTGAGAAAACAGCTATTTCACTATATTCTGTAACTAGCAACTTCTCAAATACTTTAATATATGCAAAGATTATATTATCTGTGTATTTTTATAATCTGAAGTTCTTTTCATCATAATAGATGCCTTCTATATGAAAATACAGTTTTCATGTGATAATATTTGTATGAAAATTCAGAATATAAGCTGTGTTAATGAGATTGACATTGAACTGCTTTTCTGCTTCATTTATCATAATAGTTCTAACAGTTTCATAATCTTCAACTTTAGTGCTGAAATTGTCTGTATAGACTTCCACATTCTCATTCACAGAGATAAAGAATAGAAAACATATTCAATTATTGCATATATACTGTTCTGCATCAGTATCAAAGATTCAGAAGTTTCAGAGATAGAAGTATGAATTTAAAGAGTTCATTGATATTTTCTGAATCTGTTAATCAATAGATTGATGATTAATAGATTTAGAAACTCATTACTTCAGAATCATTTCTTCTAGAACTGCTTCATTAACATCTATCATATTCATATTCATGAATGAATCTTTAGATATCACACAATCAATGTATCTCTTCAATTCTTGATTTTTAAGAGCTTGATCAATCTGAGTTCTCTTCTTCTCATTTTCCTTTCATTCAGATGACTTTCTTGATAGATTGAGATAGTAGCACTGAGTGTATCAGTGACAGGCTTCACAGATGCAGTTTTCAAATGTTACTGATAATGATTACTGAGATCTTTTATTAAGAGTAGTAAAGTTCATAGATTTATCTTCTTTAAGAATACTCATTTCTCTATATCTTTTCTTGAAGTTCTTAACTAACTCTATCAAAGATATAATATCTTTATTATATCAGATATTCTTTATTCATGCTTGTATATATTCTGCATCAATAGCTAGATTCACATTTAAGAAGTCTTTCTTCAAGTTGAACTGTTCAGCTATATCTATCTCTTTGATATCATCTTCAATAAGTAATCAGTTATTTAATTACTTCTCTATACCTCTGTTTTTCAGTGCTTTGCAGAGATTATGATATCAGATTCTCACATTATCTTGATAGTCTACAGTTATGAAGAAGAGACAATCTCTTAATAATCAGATAATGTCTTTTACATCATTATTCTCACTGTGTATATGTTATAGCTCTGTGATATTCACTGTTCTTTATATAATATCTCATATCTTTGTCATATCTTCATTCAATTTCTCATATTTCATATATTTGATTTTTCACATAGTGATCTTGATATTATATGCTATCTTGACCTCTGCAGTGACTTCTTCTGAACACTCAGGTTTCAGAGATTCTTCTAGTTCAGAGAAAATATCAGATTTATCAAGATTGATGAAGTCTGATATCTTCTTGTTCTTTGTATATTCTAGCATATGCTTGTATCAAAGTTTTCAATCTTCAGAAATACTAAGGTGTACAGTTGCACTAGACATTGTCTTATCTATCATATTGATTATATTGAATGAATTGAGGAATCAGTTCAAGTATTTGAGAATAGATATGATCAGAATTCAGAGTGTATATCAGTTAAGTATATCAGAACATATACAGTGAGAATCCATCTTCTCAGTTCAAATGATAGTTATCAGTTTGAATGAGAATTGAGATTGTGAATCAGGTATGGTATAACAGTCAAGTATTTCAGATTATATACAAATGAGGATCAATCATCTCAGTTCAAATGATTGTTGTCAAATTTGAATGAGGATTGAGATCAGTGATGTATCATGCTTCTCTTCAGATGCTGCTTACCAGGCTCATAACTGTCAGATTGAGTGTCATGGATGAATATGTTGAAGATATATGAATCTTATGTGTATCAAGATCTGCTTGTTATATTATCTGTACACTATCTAATATATCTATTTCATACAAAAGATAGAGCTATTTATAGTAAAATATATGTGCGAGCCAAGAGAGCTAGCATAAGCGAGTATTAGATGAGCATTGTAGTAAGCTGATGATGATGATGAGAAATATTGTAGTAATACAATGTTGGTGGCGTTCAGTAGTGTATAACCTCTTTTTCCTGACACATTCCTTCTAACGGCCGATTGTTCCAGCGCTGTACTGTAGTTACTGTACTGTACTGTACTGCGACACAGGCCCAATCAATCGACATAAATTATTAATATTAATTAATAATGCTGTGTTTCCCCACCAGTTTTTCGGTCGGACTTCGGTGTTCAAAAAGACCGGGAAATGACAAACGCCGTTGCCGTTGTCGACGAGGAATTACAACGGGGAGGGAGAGAAAGAGAGCGCGTACGCAGTCTGGATGATCCTGGTTGATCTTGGCTGTGGAACTAGCGGGCGTGCTTCTTTCAACCACATGTCTTGGAGACGTTTGGCGGATCCGGGTGAGCCGGGGGAGGTAAGGGAAGATGGTGATGGTGATGGAGATGATGGTGATGATGGTGATGATGACGGTGATGAGGGATGAGGGTATGGTATTGATATGAGAGTCAGACAGAGAGATCTTAATGGCAGGGCCTGGGATGGTTGCAAAAAATGCCTCACCAGATCAATGAATTACGTTGTATATAGCTAAATGATGCTTTGTTAGAAACATGCACTCACATCCATTGATTGGCAACTTCAAATGAAATGTTTCCTCTCTAAATCCCTTAAATCAACTGAAGAGATCAGAGACCAATGAATGTCATTTGAAATGACTCTTATATTTTCTTTTTTTCAATATCATACACCATCTTAACCATCATATATGTTATTTTTGCTCGTGTCTGATTTTGCTTATGAGCTCTCAACTCTTTCATCCATATTCTCCTGCGTGTTCAGGATTAAAAAAAAAAAAAAAAAAAATTGTGTAAATAAATAAACAAAGGAAAAAGAAAGGAAAAGAAAGGAATAGAGACGGTTACGCCATTTCTCACGATTCATATACTCCAGGCCTTGTGTTGTTAGGTTTCAAGTGTGAAGTCCAAAGCATATGTTGCATCCGAATTCTGAGGTCTTGGAACAGAAATCCTCGCTCTCCCCAAAAACTGACTTTGGACGCCAAGTGGGTATTGATGCCTCGAACTTTCAATGGGCGCCTCCTTTTTGATCCTGCAGCTTTTGGCGGTAGGGTAATATAGCTTGACACAGACAGGGTGAACCAGTTGTCAATCCTCCCCTCCAGTCCCTCCTCTCCTGGGTCCTAGAGCCGCTTCAACCTCGCTGAGAATATTAGTGTCAGATACTTTTCTGGGCTCCAGTACACGAGGAATCGTAAAATCGCTGGTCGTATCAATCATAGCAAATGCCAGAAGCCTGAAAGGATCCACATATATAAAAATTCCGTCGGGTGATGCGCTACTATTCAGGAGAAATGAAACTCTCGACGTCATGGCGAACAGTCCATCTGGCTGGAGTGCATACGTCTCGAATAGTATTATTAAATGATATTTGGCATTAAGGATGTTTTGTTTTCTTCTTTCTAGTGCGAAGGCTATAACGTTGGGTTGCTCCTTAAACTCCACGGTCCAAGAAACGTCTGAAACTTCAATCCCTTGGGATACGCGGCCGTCAGTGCCATTAACTAGTACGACGCAAATGAATGGAGATGAAAGTGAGAGGTCCCGCGAGACATAGGCTAGAAACTCGTTGTCCATGTCAAAAATGAGATAGTATTGAGGATAAATGACTTTTATTGTTAACTTTTTCAGGCAAGGTCGACCGAGAGAGCTGTCGGCCTGTTCGGATGTCATACGCGATCAGCTCGGGTCTGGAAAACATAGTGATATAATAAACCCGTTCTCTCCCAATGTGTAGCGGCTGCAGCTCGGGCAGCCCATCCAAGGCACGATCATGGTGCCATAATAGTTTCGTTTGTTGAAATGAGAAGATCATATCGCTATTTCCTTTATTAGTATTGATATACCCCCAAGGAGCAGTGTTTTTAAGGCTTCAGGGCCAAGACGTACGGAGTGAACTTGATTCTCCTCGAGCACCATTCCTGGATCCCGACCCGAACAAAAAAGTATCGCTTAGCATTCACATCAATGAAATGTGGCGTGTAAGGGACGTCTCTCCGAGAGGGAGGAAGGACAGGCAGCGGAAATTTCCTGAGTGGTTGAATCTGGCAACAAAATTTGTCGCCCGGCCTGTTTCGAAGCTGGTAGTAACAGACCCATGAGCCAAAGATCCAAGTAGAATAGTTGCCCCGCGTTTTCAATGCTTTAACAACAACGAATTTAACAACAGATGAAGGTTTTCACTCCCTAAAAGAGCGCTTAATCTGGGCCGATTTGGGTTAGAAAGAAACTATTCTTGTTATCGGCGGCCGGGGGAAACATGGTATCTTGACGTACTAAATCGAGTATACCGTTTCACTGGCGAAAGAGTGTCGTTACCCAAACAGTCTTCATCCGTGAAATAGGGAAAGTGACGACGTCGAAGCCCGTCAGAGCTCATGAACCAGAGCGACCACTCTCTTAGAGTGCGCCTAGCCTAACAGCATCGTGTAATGTCGATGGGGGACAAATTTCTGAAGATGATAGCCACACAATCGAAGTTAAGCTGTTTAAAAACATCGCCTACCATTTCTTTGCCCAGCATCATCAAACCGCCAGAACTAAAAGATGCGCAGGCCTGCGTTGAACGAGGCTCGTGATCCTGATAGGTAATGGAGTCTCCCGGTTTCCTTTCGGCTCGTCCACTTAGTCGTAAATTGGCGCCATGACCAGGAATGGGCAGCCACCTAGAATTATAAAAGGAAGCGTAACAACAGCCCCTTCGCTTGCCCGTCCAATTTACGTCTTGCCTTGCAAAGTGCTCGCTTGGCATGGGAAGGTCTTTTTAGACATGTCCATGGTGATGCAATTTGTAGTAGGCGCTTGTAGTCCAACCGCGGTTGCCGTATCGAGCTGGCTATTCATCGAAAACATTGGCCTTCACATATGAACGGAGTTCGATTCGCAGCGAAATCCGGCCCAGGATATAACGGGCGGGAAAGTTGACGAACCCGCGGACTTTTTGGTGGTCATATGATTGCGCCCACTCCCCCGTGGACATGCTTGGCAGCCCTGGAGATCAACAGTAAGGCGAATCACGCAATGGAAAATGTAGGAGTTGCAAGCAGATGGATAGACTCAAACAGGAGGAAAGATAATTGGTCAACGACAAGGAAGTAATCTTTGGGGCAACCCCATGAAGACGACAGAAAGGGAGCAAGGGGAAACAGTAGAGGAACAACCCAGAAACCCCCACAGAAACTAGACTGTGAAGGTAATTGGCATAAGTAAATCAGTAAGATAAGATAAAACTGCTTCGAGAAGCATATATCGTTCACGTGTGCATATACATCCGTAAATGGAGTCCGTCCAATGATCACATTAAGCCCCCCAACATAATAACTAGACAGGGAAGAAAATATAGAAATGCTGTGAAGATGAAAGTGAAAAAGGAATATAAATAAGACAGCAAACCTTCATGCCCAATATCATCAACACTAGCTAGCCCCAGACAGGGCATGAAGGGTGTAGAAGAGTAGGTACGCGTCGGCGCCCAGCACCTCTGCTTCATTGACCACGGTCACTTGGTCATCGTTGAAAAGGAACCACTGCTCGCCCTGCCGGCAATAAACATAATAGTGCCCTGCGTCAAGCTTGCCCTTGTGGACAACAGCACTGGAGAGGTCGTACATAAAATTCGAATTTCTACCTTTGCTCTTGGAGTGCTGGTGCGTCGTATACGGGAGCATGTTGATCGAGAGTGGAAAGTCAACTTTTCCTTCAACCTTTTCCGAGACGGAAAGTGTATGCTCGAATCGCTATCGGACATTTTTGCGTCAGCTAAGCTATTACAGGTATGGTAATGGAACAACCAATACTGGTTAGGAGCAGAGCCGAACACTGACCTTCAGCTGCATGCACAATATCACAGGCAGTTTCCTTATCCGAAGTTGCTTCGTAGCTTTCTGCGGGGTGCCTCCGCAGCCGCTACAGTTGTATGCATCTGCCATGAGCTTCTCCGGGGAGGTGAAACTCTGCAAGCAGCCGTCAAGTGTCGGGGTTGTGGTTAATTCACCCCCGCCAAGGGCTCGTTTTTTCTTCTGGACTTGAACGTCCAAACTGAGATCTATCATTTGATCCTCCGTCTGGGTGACATTCCCACACCTATCACAAGTCACGCTGCTTCGCAACTTTCCGTAGAAGGCGTTATGGAAAAAGCAGCGGCATGTTTTATTGTGGTCTTCAACGTGGTCATGAGTGCCCGCATGTAGCTTGTCTACCAAAAATTGGTAGAACTCATGCGCATCCTGCTGTTGATAACCGGAGAGGATCTATTTGTGACGATGGTGATGTGTAAGTTTCCAAAATTAAAAGATTGGACAATAATAAGACATTCGGAACAAACTTACAGGACTAGATCTCCACGACGCCAATAGTAAATTAAGCGCACCAAATCCTTCCGTCTTATCGTCGTTATTAAATTCGGCAAAAGTTTCAGAGACAGCACAGCTGATGCAGTTCTGGACTGTACAATCGTACGTATGGTGGTTATTGCCGAGAAAGTATGTGGTCAGAAGGGGATCGTGAAGCAAAGTTTGCAATATGACATTCATATAGCAAGTTTGGCCTAAGTTAAATAAACCCCTAACGCCTTCCTTTCCACATATTCTCTTGTTCGCATTAGCCGCAACATAAGCTTGGTCGCCATCGTTCTCAGAGTCACCACCCAGTTTACGTTTTCTAAATCCTATTTTAAATACGTTAGGGAGAGAGGCCTTGGAGGGAGTCTTGCCCCAGTGATTTCGGTGTATTTTATTTAAACAAACCTGAAGGGTCGAAGAGGAAGTTTTCTAACTCCGCATCATAAACATAATCATTGCATCCTTGGCAGAATATAGTGCCCGTTCGGGAATCCGTGACTTGAATTTGTAAATTAGCAATTTGATTCAAAAACCTGAAGAAGGTAGGAAATGAATATAAGACTTACAAAATTTGTGGCCTGAATTCTGGTAATGAGTGTACCGGTCTACCGTTGTGCAGACTGCAGAGCACTCCAGACAGGGGTAAAAGGGCCTCAATGACTTTATTTCCGCAGGCTTGGGAGGCGGTCTCCGATGTACCTGGAGGAGGGCATGATGGAACTGGCTAGCAGTTTTCTCATCTTTTTCTAGAACGTCCCTGAGGTGTTCTGAAAAACGTGTTAGTACTCCGATTTTTTTCTTCTTTTGACCGATCTATCGCTGGGAGAGTGACAGTACCGCATCCAAATTCGGCATCTGACATGATGATAATTCTTATGTCCTTCCGCTTAGTAGCCTTCCGGACAGGCTGATAAAATGGATATCAACAAGGTGGCAGAGGATGTCCCCTAGCAATACGCTTAATAGGAAGCTCCGGATGGAGTATCAAAACTTCGACTGAAGCCTGACAATACGTAATTTCGTTTGAACCGCCGAGGAGAAGAGTTTCGCGCGGTCTATCAGACCAGGCTTTCCGTAGCAGTCCACTGTGCGCAATTCTCGGCGTAAGATCCGCTGATGCTGGGGATGATTGGAAAGTTGAGTCAAAAGTTGAAGATAACCAGTAGCCAGGTCCTTCTCTCCTAACAGCTCTTAAGAATAAAACCTTAGGTCCAAGGAGGGCGACACGGGGATCTGAGATAGACTGTGTGGAAGCGGGACTCAAATATTTCAGCGGGTCCCACAACTCGTTCAATAGGAAGATTCAGGAGAGCAAAAGCTTTGTCGAGCTCCCCGAGGTATTGATTATGAGAATCAAAAACGCTACGTGTTTAGATAGTTGCCGATATAGTTACAGGAGTTCGAATAATGAGTTCTCGTCTGATGGGTAGGTAGAGCTCTTGATGAGCGGCGATCCGTATCAAACGTTTGATTCGACAAACCAACGAAATACTGCCAAAGCCAACGCTCAGGCAAGCTCAAACGAATGTCAATGATCGATGACTTGCACAAATCCCCTCGCTGTGGCTTCTTGGGCAAGAGATTCGTCATATGAATTTTGTGAATTAGAAACCGTCGGAGGTAAGTGGTCACGACAAGGTAGGTGTAAGAATTAGTCGGAAATTTGGGCACAGCCCTTGAGAACTTCTGGTTGGTCGAGGTATCAATCTCAGCATACGCAGAGGGAGATAACTAAATAATAAAAGGAGAATCGCTGAAAGTAAACAATAAGGAAAAAAGTCAGATGAATAGAATATCACAAGAAGAAGGATATGTTGAAGTTCGGAGATTTTTAGCATGATTGGCGGCGTTTTGCTTTTTTTTGCCGAGCGAAACGAAACCAACAACTTTACTTCGATAACTATTTAGTTTTTTGGGATAATGACGGTTGCCCAACCACTGATCAGAGTGATACATAGTTTCACCCAACTATTACTTTGGAAGCTTATGTTTTAGTTTATTCATGGGTGTCACATTTCTACTGAGTTGGTCATTTACATCCATACAATTGGTGTCATATTATGAGTTTTCTAAATACACATGAGTCTTATAATAAACTTTGGTACCTGCAGTAATTAGATCTGCCAGCTACTTCTCAAGTCTAGCTAAACCCACAAAACCCGCTGCTTAGCGTATATGGAATGGGAAATTCAGAAAATAGGAAACTGGAAACAGTGGCGGCTATTGCACTTCCTTGGGGCTTGTGCATGGCGTGAACCATCAATAGCCACGATTATCTATTAATGGATTCGCCGTAAATTTCCAAAAAGCTTATCCAACGGGGAGAGTAATCTAATCAAGCAGCTCTTAGCTTGAATTAGCATATCGTGAGCGCATGGACATGTAGCCGGGAATCATTGGGTTTGGTAGTCAAGTTTCGATCTCTCTGCTGCCATATCGACGCCGGCCGTGTAGCCTTCCTTTCGCTCAATCTGCAAGCGCTACATGAGCTGTAAGGATAGCCAACTAGCGGAAAACGGGCGTACGGCTTTTGCACATCCTAGTGGGAGCGTTGAACAGCTCCCTTGCTTGCACGAAGAGAATAGATTTCGGTTGGAAGGTAGAAAGTCTTTGGGTATATGAGCGTTCCCAGACAATGAAGTGTCAGGAATCTTTGTTCACTACCGAATTCCGCGAGCTCGTGGCCTTACAAGCCCGCTGGTTCGACCGCGCGTTGAACCTCTAGTCGAATAGCGGCCTCCGGTTGAACCACGGCTAGATTGGCTAGTACCGCGGGCTGAGGGAGCGGGTGTTGAGTATTTTGAACTCGTTTTAGTTGATATAGGAGGGTTATCGACAAACGAGGTGTCAGTGGTCCTAAATAGAATTGAATAAGCCAATTGTTGTCGACCACAGAGCAGACCTCGTATTCTTACATGAAGGTTGTTTCACCGTCATGTTCTGTTGCTGTCAATGGTTCGTTCACGGTCACTGAGTCTAGTCATAGAAATGTCAGCGCCGTCGAATGGCTGCCGTGATCAGTTCTGATAGTGTCCGGCTCTGGATTACCTTCTGCTTGCTTCGCTCTCTTGAAGGAATCTGGAATGGGCGCCTAAAACGAAAAACATGTCAACGCGTGTCTCTATAAAGAACCTAACATAAAAAGCGAAAATGAGTGCGAAAAAGAGACATCAAAAACAGGCATACCTCAGGGAAATCAACACAAAAAGCATTCATATTTAATCCATACAGGAAGCTCGCGAAGCTCTCATTAAACCGCGACAAGCTCTCATGCATCAGCTGGAGATGCATGAAATTGGCCTCGAGATCTGCCATGGAATCTGCCAACTCTGCAAACTGAGGCTCCAGGGCGTTCACAGCCGGTTGGGAGACACCATCTTGATTCCAGCTTCCTCCGAACGCGTGCGAATCTCGAATCGAGGTCCGTGAGCCTGGTCGAAGCGGGGTTGTAGGTCGGGATGAAGGGCGAGGACGGGAGGTTGATCGGTGTACCCCGCCGGAGTCCATGGCCAGGAAAATGGCGGGGGATGTGGGTAAAGGGTAAATCGGAGGTCGGTCCCTGTATGCGCACTACAGAGGAATATTGTTATTGTTATTATTATTATTATTATTAGGCTGGGGGGTAAGACAGCTTGGATGGTAGTTTAACTAGTATTGCTGCTCGTTTGATTATTATTGTTGAACTATTTTGGTATTTTGTTGTGATGCCGATATCAAAACTCCGCAATCTTGGCCTTCACGTGCAATGACATAAGCACTAGCCGACACGACATGGCCTTGAGGCCGACGAACAAACGAACTTCCAATATAGTTCCATTGGCTAGGTAGGATCTAGTTTTCAACACGCTCCTTGAAACCTCCCCGGATTTTCATCGCCATCTGCCCCGCATCGCGCTACTCTCCGTGTTGTGCTGCCATCTGCGCCGAAGCCCTCTCTAGCTGGGATCTGTATCCGGCGCAACCGAGGGCGAGGGACTGAAGTGCCAGGCAAGGGGACGGACGAGCCTGTGGCAGGTGCTTGTCGCTCGCTGAACTTTTCGCCCAGCAGACCAAAATATAAGCTTCGCTGTCTTCGATCTGCTGCTGCCCCCTTTACAATAATAATACTGCCACAATAATATATATATGTGGGCGGCCTTCCACCGCCGCGTTTCACCCTCATCTCTCAACTTCGTCTCTGTACGGTTGACTGAACAACGTGCGCATTCCGGATTTCGAGGGTGGTCGTCACCACGCGATCCCCCCCCAACCAGACATAACTGCTCCGGATTCCCTGATCAATATCCATCTTCCTGTACGAAATACGCTTCGTCGTTCTGGACATTCGCTGTTTCCGCTGTTGTTGTATTCGGCGGTTTAGGCTTGCGACATATTTATTGGGCGCCCGACAAAGCCAGCATCACGACTAGGATCTCACCGGTTCCAGGGCATTTCAACTCTGAGGACAAAGAAGCAGCAGGGGCAGAAAAATACGAAATGGCAACAGATCCAGCGCTCAGCGGGCGGCTTGGCCACCTTACAGAGCAGGAGGAGGCGAAACTCCGGGAGCTTTGGGCGCTCCTGTTCAAGATATTCAAAATTGGCCAGGCTGAGGGAACTGAGTTGGCGGATAGTTTATCATCGCTCCAGAAAACTCAAAGTACAACTGCGAACACGACAGATGCCGCCTCCGTGACGTCAAAGAAGAAGACAACCACAAGGAAACGATTTGGCTTCTTCAGCAAGTATAATGAGACTGTGGAAGAGAAAGAAGAAAATTCGACTGCCAATGGCCACGCTGTAGCTAGTCAGATGAAGCTGTCGGATGATGACGATAAATATGGACTAAACAAGGAGTTCTTGACTGCTTTATCCAGCCAATCGCCTGAGGAGCTACGGATGGCGTTCTGGAATGTGATTAAACATGATAACCCGGATTCGCTCTTGCTTCGATTCCTGCGGGCCAGGAAGTGGGATGTTCACAAGGCCCTGGTGATGTTGGTATCTACTCTAAAATGGAGGTCCCAGGAGTGGAAGGTGGACGATGAGATCGTGTTTAAGGGCGAGGCTGCTTTCCATGAGAATAGCAAGAGTGACGACCCTACCAAGAAGAAGGAGGGCGAGGATCTGCTCCATATGCTTCGAATTGGTGAGGCCTATTGCCGTGGCAAGGATAAGCTAGGCAGGCCGATTTGCTATATCAATGTCCGGCTGCACCGTATCGGCGCTTACTGCCAATCCGCTATCGAGAAAAACATCATCTTTCAGATCGAGACTTCTCGCTTAATGTTGGACTCTAGAATAGACACTGCTGTGAGTAATTGTTGTCACTGTCATGGCCTGTCATCAATCGATATCGGATGCTAACTAAACTGTTAAGGTTATTGTTTTCGATATGACCGACTTTGGGCTGGCGAATATGGTAAGCATCTCCCCTTCACCTTGGATCCGCCTATTACATACGAGCTTACACAGTATTATAGGACTATATACCTGTTAAATTCATCATTAAATGTTTCGAAGCCAACTACCCTGAAAGTCTTGGTGCGATTCTTGTTCACAAAGCACCATGGATATTCTCTGGTAAGCTCATATCGCTCACCCCTGTTTTGTTCGAACCGCTGCCTCTAACACATTCCACAGGCTTCTGGACAATCATCAAGGGCTGGCTGGATCCCGTAGTAGCTTCGAAAGTCCACTTCACGTCGAACTATCAAGAACTAGAAAATTTCATCGCCAAGGAAGCTATTCCCGTAGGGCTTGGGGGCAGTGACGACTACGCGTACGAGTACATAGAGCCCAAGGCAGGGGAAAATGACCTAATGAAAGACACCATTAAAGCCGCGACACTCAAGGAAGAAAAACTTAAGATGATTGATGAGTATCAAAAGGCGACGCGAGAATGGATAGACACCGCCTCTACCGCTGCGGATAAGGGCGAGGAGATTAACAAGCAGAGACAAGATATCGCCTCGCGGCTAAGTGAATTCTACTGGAAGCTTGATCCATACATCCGAGCGCGCTCCATTTACGACCGTATCAGAGATGCTGAGGAAGCTATCGCTACATCCACCGCAATTACGATCCCGAAACCTGAAGAGGTCACAGTGAAGGATCAAGGTGCACTGTCAGAAAAGGGTGCTACGGGCGATCCGAAACCGCAGAGCCAGGTGGTGGAAACCACGGCTGTGGCTGCGGCTGCTGCTAGCTAGAATTGCTTCTTTTTGCTTTTTTCCCCCCTTCTCTTTGTCCTTTTTTTTAAAGTTCAGTTCTCCAAGGCTTTTCCTGATACGTCTTCATGTTCATTCTACCTTCGTTTTGCCCCGGATTTTTCATCCACTTTCTAGATCTTAGTTATTCTTTATTATTCTCTTAGAAACCCCTTTTGCCACGTCTATCTGATGTTCGATGGGAGTCATGCCTCATTATTTTTTATGGCCAACTCTTTTGTATCCTTACTGTTTTCCGCCTGTTTTTATTTATCTTCTCCATGTGGATATCAAAAAGCAACTGCTAAAATAACACAGTGGATTGGCGCGCTCTCACGGGCTCGCATACGCAAATCTTATGTACGTTTTTATGAATGAATGCAGCAACCGATAAATAAAAGAAGAAAAAGAAAATGCATATACACATCAGTTTTCAAGCAACCAGGCCATCTCAAATAATACAGTTACGGCTAATCCCACCCATTTTAACCCATTTTTTGCCCACTTATAAACCGAGTGCTACATATCAGACAACTGTGAAACCACCTATTTATTTATTATTATTTACCAATAATAATAATGCCTAGGGTACCTCAGGTGTCTGTGCGACGGCGCAGAACGTGATGTACAGGTACATGTACATGTACATGTACCCTTTCTCCCCGCCCCCCCTATGTTGGGGGAAAGGGGGGGGAGGGAAAAGAGTTAACGCGGGGAATGGATTGGTTGCGCGGGAGGTGAGCTAGGGCATATGGGATGATTTGATGGAAAGGTAATACATAATAATAATAGTGAAGTGAGTATAGGAAGTCATTATTCTCATTCAGCACCTATGTTAGTCACGACATATTAACAACTGCAATGCAACCCCGTGGAATCGGGTGTTCATCAAGTTTCTTCTGGTCGGTCCGCCTTTCATGGAATTCCCGAACCCACCTCAACGTTGCCTTTTTGTTCTTCTCTTCCCTCCCTTCCTCCATATATCCACACATGTAGCTGTGCTAAATAGTTACCAACGAGAGGGGCCACAAAGAGGAGAAAAAAAATAAAAAAAATAAAAAAAATAAGTGTCGCATAGCCCTCTTGTTCACATTATTTCCAACAAACGCACTCAGCCTCCCCCTCTCTTCCCCTCTTTCTTGCATCGGAGCGATTCAATATCATTAACTCCTAGTTTACATCTTCGCCTTCATCTCTTCGCAAAGCGCCTTGAGCTCCTCCTTGTCTGCCTCTGCGTTGGGCCAACCAACAGTGAGCCCCTCTTTCTCGTTTGGTTTTGGTATCTAAATTTTTTCGATGGCGGGCCCCTCCCGGGGGGTGGAGGGGGGAGGCGTTCAAATGTTAGCATGTATGCCTTGATTTCTCACAAGTGGCTTTCGTATAAATTTTTTTTTTTTTTCTTTTTTTTGCGCATTTGGATTATGTTGCAGAGGTACACTCGGAGTTTTTTTCTGTTGCTTTACATCTTTTCTGTAGACTTTCAACCTAAACAACTCTCCCGGCCTTGGGTTGGGGTGGGGATAAAAGAATCTTTGATAGGATGGATAAAAATGGACGGATGAGGGGAATTGAAAAGAAAATGGAAAACGTACCATGTGAATGTGAACCTGCGTTGGAATACGTCAGCAAAGGGAAAGAGAGGTTAGAATGAGAAGGGGTAGGGATATGTGCGTTAAAACATACATGATCAACAAATTGGTGGGCTGGTCTTCCGTTATTCTGGAGGATATTGAAATCCACGGCGCCCGAGGCAATTGCTAACTTTTTGGCAACGGGCTGTGTGTTTGATTTGTTTTGGTTAGTTGGCTAATTCTCCAGATACTTGTCTCGAGGTTTTGATGAGAAAAATATGCAGCAGTTTGCCAAGGAGTTTTCGACACAATAGAAAGAACGCCAGGCCAGAGCTTAAAATCGTAGCTTGGTGATCTATATGTAGCAAAAATGATGAACTGTGACACTGCTAAACTCTCAGAGATGCACTATGCTTCTTCCATGCCTTTTTCGTTTTGGTTCTTCTTTCACAAACTGCGGCATTTTGCTTGGGGAATCGGGCGAGAAATGGCGGTAGAAGGACAAGAGTGGAAATCACAGAGATATTATGGACGAATGTGTGCTCTACATACCAGAAGCTCAGCAAGGTCTTGATCGGGAATATCAGTCAGTTTGACACCGTGGAATTTGGGGATGACGAGCTGCGTCGAGGTAGAATTTGGCGAGTAGTTAGTTTATCGATTTCCAGCGCCGTTTCCATGATGTTGAGCTTGGTTTCTTTCATTGAAGATTTGGATGAGGAGCACAATTGGTTCGTTTTCCGCTCAGCCATTGAGACCAATGCCAATGGCAGCTTTGGGAGGGGCCTGGATATATGAACCGCCAATTGGCCACCAATGTAGAGAGATAGAACGGGGTGTGCATAAACTCACCGCGTGGCCCCTGCTCAGTGGCATTATGTCAAGAAAGGCTAGGACTCGTTCGCTCTCATAGAGCTTGAAGCTAGGGATCTCGCCTTGTTGACATAGGTTAGTATACATGTTTATAGGAGGAGGGGTTGTATGATGTCAGCTCCCCGGGAGTATAGGTACTGTACATACCCTTCACGATCCTACAGAAGAGACAAGCAGCGGAAGCAGCAGACATGGTGAAGGTATTTGGTATGAGATTAAACTTGGAAAATAGAAAGTCAATTGAGGTAAATAATAAATGTGAGGAAGAAGAACGTTCGACTTTTGTTGAGAGATGATGGCGGCTTCTTGTTGCTGATGTTGATATTCCGCTGTCCTGATTAGGCGAGGGGTCAGCGGTTCAGCTGCCGGTCGCCGGAGGGAAACATGACGCCCTGCGCCCCCGCAATGCACTGGTGACTAAAGATGACATGATAGTTATAGGTCAAGAATATATAAGCAATGCACACAAGCTATATGAAGAAAGTCAAGAAAAAGTCAAGAAAAAGATAATGCATGAGCAAGGAATCAAATCGCCACCCCGCCCCCAAATCGCACCGTCCCGGATTCGAACCCATGTCCATAGCTAGCTTACATAATAAAGGCAGGATATAAATCAATTTAGGTCCATAACTAGGAGGAGTGGAACAGGCTAGCTCAGAATCCATTTCTTGCCTTTTACCAGAGATGGCCGTGGCTCTGTCCAAAATACTCCTATACACCAATCTTTGGAAACTGCTCATCGGCAACAGTCGGTCGATAATTTTATGCTATTTTTTTCTCTCACTTCCCGAGACTACTCTAACACCTTGAGTCCAACTACTTTTCAGTACTTTTCTCTCTCCTACCGGGTGGGATGAACAATGAAGCTCAGGTTGGGTGCGTGGAATTTGGGATCGGCCGTGTGAATAATACATCTTCACCCCGCAAGTTCTCCCCGCCCTAGGATATTCCATCCTTTTTTATAACCCAATGCAATGGATAGTGGGCGAATTGTGCTTGAAGCTGAAGGGATGTAGTATGTACGGCATTAAAAACTTTACCTTACATCCCGATTCAGGTCAATATCCCGAAAACGCTGCCCGGGTTGTGGAGCTGACAAGTAAACATCCCCGCTTCCGGCAAAACATTGACAGGGCTGAGGGGCATCGGTTATGAGCAAGCATACTATATATATACCTGCGATTCCAATTGATAATAATTGCTTCACCGGCTGATACCTGATTTGCAACTAGTATATTTACCTGCCTTGTCTGAACCCCTCATGAGTACTTCCATCTGCCGACGTATTACCACTACCCTCAACTCACCACCGCGCATTATCCAAGGCATCTTCTTCAAGGACTTATCAACCCATACACAGCGCAATTCAATATCAGCTGTTCCTATTCTCGCAGCTTTCATGGAGAAAAGCCATGCTGACCACCCAGCTTTCGGAGGCCGATGTTTCGGGACTACAGGCAAATAAGCAGAGGCTGTGGGATTATATTCATCATAGTTGCCAATGGGGCTCTGGCATTAGATGGGGAGAGTACGTTCTTTATTTATTTATTTATTTTTAATTGTTTATTTGCCCTCTAATCATAACTCCTTGCAACTGGTTACACTATGAGCTGGGCAACTAGTAGATGTTGATATATAGGGGGCAGGGGGGGATAAGGGGCGTTTAGACCAAATCAGAGGTAGTGGTGAACTTTCATGCTGACGTCTCATCTCCACCTTACAGTAACCCAACAGACACAGGAATGGGTCGCCTAGCCCTCTCGCAAGAAGACAAACAGGTACGAAACTGGTTTATCGAAACCACAAAGGCGCTGGGCTGCAATGTCACCGTCGATGAGATGGGTAATATCTTTGCTGTCCGCCCTGGGCGAAGAAAGTATGTCCCGGCTACTTTCATTGGGAGCCATCTCGATACACAACCCACTGGTGGTAGATACGATGGTATCCTAGGGGTCTGTGCAGGCATCGAGATGCTTAAGGTCCTAGAGGAAAAGGGGATTGAAACGGAGGGGGGAGTTGGTGTTGTCAATTGGACGAAGTAAGTTAGGACACAGGGGTCCGCCCTTCCTTCATTCCCCCTCTAAACACCTTGATAAACGGGGAAAATATAGCCATTAACCAAAAAAGTATAGCGAAGAAGGTGCTCGCTTCCCCATAAGCATGGTCTCCTCCGGAGTCTGGGCGGGCAAAATCCCTCTCGAAAAAGCCCATAACCTCCGCGAAGTCCCCACCGTCGCTTCCCTCCCCATAGCCTCCTCCGCCCCAGAAACCATGAAGTCCGCTCTGGAAAAGATCGGTTACCTAGGCACCACCCCATGCTCGCACACCGCATACCCCATCGCCGCCCATTTCGAACTCCACATCGAGCAGGGCCCCTACCTCATCACCTCAGGTCAGCGCGTGGGCGTCGTCACCGCCGTCCAGGCATACCGCTGGTACCGCATCAATGTCACCGGCCGCGACACGCACACGGGGACGACAGCCTTCGAGCACCGCGCAGACGCGCTCTACGCCGCTGCGAAAATGATGGTGCGTGCGCGCGAGATCGCGCAGAAACACGGCGGTCTCGCGAGTGTGGGGATCGTCGATATCAAACCGGGCAGCGTCAATACGATCCCAGGCTTTGTCAGTTTCAGTCTCGATTTCCGCGCGGCGGACACGCCGATTGTGGAGCGGTGCGATGCGGAGTTGCGGGCGGAGTTTGCGGCGATTGCGGCAGAGGAAGGGAAGGGGATTGGGAAGCCGTGTCGGGTTGAGTGGGTGTTGGATCTGGATAGTCCGGCTGTTAATTTCCATGAGGATTGCATTGGGTGTGTGATGAAGTCCGTTAAAGCTGTTGTGAAGGATCAGCCGAATCCTGAGTCGTTGTATCGGACGATTATGAGTGGGGCGGGGCATGATAGTGTCTTTACGTCGAAGAGGGTACCGACGAGTATGGTATTTGTGCCGTGTAAGGATGGAGTAAGCCATCATCCAGAGGAGTTTTCGTCAGCGGAGGATTGCGTTACGGGGGCGACGGTTATTCTGCAGGCCGTGGTGAGGTACGATCGAATGAGGTTCCAGAGTTAGTCCGCGTTATGAGTGTTTTCCCCTAAATTGAAGAGTCTATGATAAGGTCAGCTGGGTTATTGAGCTCTCAATGTTTGCAAATGAAATGAAAATAAATATTCAATATCAGGATTTCAGATAGGGTAAGAGTCGATTCGAGGTCGTTGAAGATACCGCCTATGATATCTGGCGTGGCCAAAATAAATCAGCCGGTGTAAGGCTCATGTTGACAGATTCTAAGATAAAAACATATGTGGAAAGAGCAATCGTCTTTAACGTAAAGTATTCTTCTCCATTTGAGGTTAAATATTGCATTATTTAATTCCCCCATCATTTGGATCCACCCACACGATACCCGGGGATAATAATCCCTTCCCCTCCCTTTCCAACACAGGACAAAAACATCGCTAGTCCCTCCATCATCGTCATAATCTTCATTTAAGAAGATGGAGCGGGAGCACCACGTCCGCGACCGAAGCCGCCACGGAACGAAGGAGCAAAGTCGCCGGGGGCACCGCCTTCTTTACCCTCACCCTGCTCACGGCGTCTGTAGCCACCATCTCCACGGGGACCACCACGACCGCCGGGGCGTCTCTCGCGCTCTTCACCGCCCATCATGCCGCGGGGGGGAGCGTGCGAACGCTGCTGCTTGATGTGGGTAGCGGGGACGATCTCAGCGGGCAGATGGAGCCATTCGCGGAGGTAATCGAGACCTTCGGGAGTGAGGGTATAGTAGTAGTATTGCCACGAGAAGCGGGTCTTGAGGTAGCCGCGCGAGGTAAGGGATTGGCAGGCCTTGATCACCTGTTGTTTCCGCATATGGGTGTTATTTAAGTGGTTCTCTTTCTTTAATATACGTACTTCAAATTTTCGGGGTGACTTACGTAGAGGTTCTTGGTGTCAATGTCACCATGCTTGGGAAGGTTGAAGTCCTTCTTAGCCACGAGTACACCCTCTATTAATTTTTGTGAGAATAATTAGAATCGATATATCCATCCCATATGCGAACATAATATGTGATAAAAAATGACATCTAGGTGGGCGAAATATTGCGCTTGGTCAACATACCACGGAAGATGTACTCGTGGATCTTCTTGCGGTCAGCTTTGGGGATCAGCCTGGAGAGTTTTGTCAGTATAATCAATATTCAGCACACAACTAACATGAAGGTCATCAACTTACATTGTCGCGAGTTCCTGGCGCAATTCGGGGAATCGCTTTGACAATGGGGTATTCGGGCGGTGATGAGGTCGAAGCGGAGGTATAGCGGGTTGTTGAACTGGTGTGTTGCAGCGCTTTTGGCGTCGATGCTTTTCTTTCTTTGGCCGATAAGTGTGAGCGGAAAGCGTGACTAGGGTTTGCCCTAAACGACGAATGGGGAAGTCGGAGAAGAAATTCGTGGCTGGTGCAGCTGACTAAGTGGCTGATAGGATCATGTGATTTCATTCCCCAAAACGACGTTCGATTTTGTCTCGGTGCATCTTTCAATCACCTATCAACCGACAAATCACCTTCGCGACAAGGCATCGAGGCGCAGAAGAACATCCATCTGAGGCTACTGAAGATATCAAAAAACAGTTATATTGTGTTGCCAATATGGCACCTCAAACGATTAATTTCCTCCTCTCCTCCTTCCCTGGGTTGCCATTGCCACCCACCCTCTCGTTCGCTCTGCCATCCACTGCAATCATCGCCGATGTTGCGGACAACATATCCTCACGTCTACCACCGTCCCTAAGGAATGTATCCGATCGTCTTCTTCTCACAACTACTGGCAATAGACAACTTCTCCCCTATTCATCAGAATCTATCGCCACCCTCCTTGATGGCGCGCAAACCATCTCACAATCCACATTTATCCCTCTTCGACTTAGCGCCAGATTATGCGGTGGGAAAGGTGGTTTCGGCTCACAGCTTCGTGCTGCTGGAGGCCGTATGTCTAGTCGCCGCAAAGGAAACCAGGAAGAGAACAACGGCTCTAACCGTAACCTCGACGGCCGTCGACTACGCACCGTGAAGGAAGCCAAAGCGCTGGCCGAATACCTTGCGCTCAAACCTGATATGGACAAGAAGGCAAAGGAAGCTAGAAGAAAGCGATGGGAAGCTGTGGTCGAGGCAGCTGAGAGACGGGAAGCGGAGATTCGAAACGGGGAGGGCAAGGGAAAGGTTGATGGCGTTTGGATGGAGGATAAGGAGGAAGTGGGTGAGAAAGCGAGAGAAGCTGTTTTGCGCGCAATGAAAGAAGGCAACTGGAAAGATAACTTGGCTGGAGCTGAGTTTTTGGATGGATCCAGCGCCAGCGCCAGCAATAGCAGTGAAGATAGCAGGTCTTCAGCGAGTCCGAGCGATGGAAGCGATATGGAGGATGTTGCTGAGACAAGCACGAGTGCGACGACACTACCACAACCAGCCAAATCTACGGTTCCCGCGAGGCGATATTTTGGTTTTGACGACGAGGATGACGATGAATTAATGAGTGATGAAGAGGACGAAGAGGGAGAGGCGGATATACCTGACGGAAAAGAACTTGAGGGAAAGGGGAAGGGGAAGGCTTAATTTCAAATTGTGTCCGCTTTTACCTATTTTTTTCTACTATGCAAGGCGCCAGGAGTTAACTATCATCATTGGGGTAATTTTGGGTCTGGTTAAGCTGAATGCTGCTTTAGCTTATACATAGGATAGGCACTAGGATGATTGCTTATTCCTTTCTTCGATGAAAATCCATGAGCACTATATTTTTTTCTACTACTACTATTATTATCACTCTCATTCCTTTGATTGTCTAGCATCGTAAATCTATCTCGATTTTGGCTTCTTTTGCTGGCGACTACATACATGTGCAACTGTGGTGGTTTATCAATCTGATATCGTTTCTACGGTTGCCCTGACAAACCACATAAGCAGTCTTAATTTTCTTCCGCAGGCAAACCTTCAATATCGGTATAGTATTTCTCTATAGTTTGGCGCACCGGTTGGTATTTTAATTAATTAATTAATATAATGTCCCTAAATCCAAGGTCTGCATTGCGGAGACTTATCAAATTCGGATACTTACCTTCACCCGCTCCGCGACTATCATATTCTGCTCTCTCGAAATGGAGACCGGCCGCATGCCGCAAAGACTGTCTAGAGCATACATTATACCCTCCGCGACGACTTCTTCACACTTCTCCAGATACCCTTGATAGTTCAAACACCCCACCACTAGAAATACCCGAGAGCATCCCGCCGAACCTTGATCCTACGTTGCTACCGTTTTCATGTCCCGGCTGCGGCGCATTTACGCAATGGGTCAGCCCCGACGAAGCTGGTTACTACTCGATCAATAGGAAAGCTGTGAAAGAGTATATTCGCCGTTTTTCTCCCGATTCCGAAGAGGGTGCCTCTGCAGCTGAAAATATTCAGAATGGGAGCAACATTGTCGAGATTGTAGATGATGCGCCCGCCGAAGGAAAGTCGGCTGTTCCGTCTGCGCAACCGCATGAAGGTACGTGTTGTTGAAGATGCGCGAGTTAGGGTGAACCTTGAGCTAAGGATAATTTCTATAGATACGACACCGCCGAATGATATAAAAGTTCCATTCTGTGACAGATGTCATGGCCTTATAAATCATGGAATCGCGTCTCCTATTCCCTATCCTCCAATATCATACATCGAAGATATCATTGCCGAATCGCCATACAAACACAACCATGTTTACCACATTATAGATGCTGCGGACTTCCCCATGTCCCTAATCCCTAATATCAGCCGAATACTAGATTTGGCAAAACTGCGTACACAAAATCGAAGAGCGAAAAATATACAGTACGGGGGTGGAGGCCGGAAACCCGTTCTAAGCTTCATTATCACCCGTTCTGATCTCCTAGGTTCACAAAAGGAATTCGTGGACCATCTAATGACCTATGTCTTAAACGTAATGCGCGAATCACTAGGTTCGAAGGGTGAAAATGTACGTTTAGGAAATGTGCACATGGTTAGTGCGCACAGGGGTTGGTGGACGAAAGAAATCAAGGATAAGATTTGGGAGGAAGGCGGGGGTGTTTGGATGGTTGGGAAAACGAACGTAGGCAAAAGCAGTCTACTCCAGGTTGTTTTTCCAAAATCCCCGAAAACCCTACCCCCTTCCAAGCTACGTGCCAGCGGCAAATTCGAGGACAGCTTACAGCCCAACCGCCGGATTTGGAGCTCTACCGATCCCAGCGTGGATCACAGTGACCTACCGCTCCCAGGAGAACTTAAAGATCCTGACCCGAAGCAGAACAAGGAGGTCAATGAAGAAGTCGATGTTCTCCTCCCCCCGGCCCAAAAAGTGACGCAATATCCAATTTTCCCTATTGTGTCTTCCCTCCCAGGAACCACCGCATCCCCTATCCGCATCCCCTTCGGCAAAAAAAGGGGCGAAGTGATAGATCTCCCCGGGCTTTCCCGCGGCGGTCTACAGGAATTTGTTAAAGACGACCACAAAGCAGACTTAATCATGAAGAAACGCTTAAAGCCTGAACGGCTGACGATCAGGCCCAAACAATCCCTCGTCCTCGGCGGGGGACTCATCCGCATCACACCAGTTGACGCAGACAATATAGTCGTCCTCGCCGCCCCATTCGTCCCCATACAGCCACACGTAACCTCGACGGAGAAGGCTATTCTCATGCAGGCAGAGCAGCGCGAGATGTCCAACGTACCCAGAATTACAAAGGAAGGTATCGCTGAGTCGATACAATTCGCCGGTGTATTTGAGATTGACGGGGACGTTACCAAGACGTACGGCAAGCCGACCTCATTGCCGCTGGACAGGAAACAGAAGAAGAGGCTGAGCACGCTGCCGTATCGAGTCCTGTCGACGGATATTGTGATCGAAGGGTGTGGATGGGTAGAACTCGCTGTGCAGGTGCGCACCAAGGATCTAGAGGCCGGGGTTATGCCCAAGGTCGAGGTGTTTACCCCTACAGGGAAGTTTGTTGCGAGTCGGAAGCCGATGTGCGCATATTCGTTTTTGCTTGAGAAGCACCAGAACGCTGCGAGGAAACGGGCGAAGAGGCCGATGAGAAGTGTAAGGAGGGCCAAAGGAGGCAGCTAGATTTGGGCTGATATTACATGCTATGTGTGCCATCAATATGATGGATTTTTGAGAAAGTTGTATTATTTAGATCTCATTCAAACCCCCTCGGCCGATTTGTCCGGTTTCGTTTTATCAACATGTAATATATATAAGAACAAACTGTATGATATGACGAGTAGAAAGATTTTTTCAACTTACGTTTGGTCGGGCTTTTATTATAGATAGCATTGCGATCCCGGTTGGGCACAGCGTCATACATTCGTTTCCCGGATAGAGTCAAATGCATAGATAAATGAATCTAAATACAAATACAATATATAACCAAATGACCCGAAAACGTAAGTAAGGCATGAGATTTATGTCAAATATCTATCGAGGTTTATCGGTTTTAGGCTATGCCCCTGACGGTAAATATTAACCGCTCTAGACCTCTAGTACCTTTTCTTTTTCTCCCTATTCCCTTACTATGGATGCGCAGAGAATAATAATGGGCAATGAATAATGCACGGCATGATGCCCTAAAAGACCGAAAATAACATGGAAACAGTTTCAAGAAAGAAGGAAAGGAAATAAATCATAACAACGCAGATCACGACCCATCAACTTCAGGGATATTCTCGAAATGGAACGTAGGTTGCCCGGGAACCGCATTCTCCGCAATGATTGGTAGCCCTTCCCTCCGCTCGCCATCCAGGGTAGTACCCGCCTTACCGCCCTCCTCAACGGCAATGACCTCCACAACCTTACATCCAGTCGTTCTGATCAGACCCGCAACCATATCGCCAAGAACCTGTAGCTCATCGAAGCCCAGTTCTCGGTTAAAGACGGTCTCCGGCTGCTCCTTTGCCGTGATCAATCTCTTCTTCAATCCCTGGACAAACGGCATGGCCTTCTTCATCTCGCCAAGTTTGCTTACTTTGCCATTTAGCTCTTTATCGTTGATGGAGAGGGAGACAGCGTCGAAGGCCTCGCGGACCAAATCAATATACTTCTCCTGCCAGCTGGGGAATTTCTTGGCGGCGAAGATGGTCAACTTCTTTGGTTTGCGAGGGTCGAAACTGACGGTTTTGCCCTTAGAGAGTTTGCGAGCAAAGGTGGCTTCTGAGGATGTGATGTTCGAGGCGGTGGTGCGGACGTAGACTAGAGCAGAGGAGAGGACGGGGGATGGCTCTGGGACCTCAGGGAAGAGGGCTTTTTGGATGGTATCCGGCTATTTAATGAGGAAAATGTTTAGTCTTGACGCAATTGATGCTTCTAGAGTAATGGAAATGTTGGGATAAGCATACCTTCTTGAGGACCTCCAGCCACACGTATTCAGACCAGTGAGGAGTAATCGGAGTCAAAAGGAGAGCCTGCAGTTCAATGTATCGAAGGATTATATCGCGATGCATACCAATGCCGGCAGCGGTGGTTGATTCGCGGTAGAAGTCTCTTGCACTGGTAAAGTCGTAGAGCGCCCTCTTCAGAGCAAGTTTGAAATTGGTACTGTGGAGGAATTGAAATTAGTTATCGATATACATATACATCTATGGCCAAACAAGGGTTATTAACTTACTCAACATAATGCTTCCTTGCCTCACGAGCCAAAACATTCAGTTCATTGTCGAATAGTTTATCGAAGAAAGCATCGGCAGGGCCAGTGCGGAGAGAGTTGTCTTTCGCAACCTCCTCGATCCACTCCTTCAGTGTAAATAGACGCAAGATATTGCTGTTGGCGACTGATTCATCAAAGTTTGCATCCTCAATTGCGTCACCCGCATCAGCAAAGGCGATTCGCGTGGCATCCGCGCCATATTTGTCCACTGCGTCTTTCAATGTCAAGAAATTTCCTGTACTCTTGCTCATCTTCTCGCCGTTCAGTAGCAAATGGCCATTGACTCTGATGGAGCGTGGCCAGTATTCCCGAGGGAAAAGTGCGGCGTGGATATATAGGCAGAACGTGAGATGGTTCTGAATAAGATCTTTTCCTGAAACTCGAACATCCAGGGGGTACCAGTACTCAAACTCTCGTCTCATTGTGAGGAGAGCCTCCTTGCTAATACCGGTTGATTGAATTAAATCGTCGCCAAGGTCTCTCCTGGTGAAGATATAATCCCAAACCTCGTCCGTCATTTGCTCGGGCTTGATGCCGAGGCTGCCCGGTTCCTTTCCATATCTATCAGAGTGAAGAAGGTGTGCAATGGTATAGTATGCTTGGTAAACTGTACTGTCACTCAAACTTTCGACAAGGAAATGAGGATCCCATGGCAGTCTAGAGCCCAAGCCGTAGGTTCTGGCGCATGCCCATCGGTTGAGCCACTCAAGATTCTTCTCAAAGCCATGGCGAGCTTCCTCAGAATAAGTGTTGAGTGGCCCTTTTACATAGTCGAGAGTATCTTTCTGCCACTGTGGGTCGTTTTCGCCATAATTTAAGAACCATTGACCAAGATATGCAACAACACATTCGTCACTGCTTCTACTGACAACCTTACCAGCAGGGTCTGCAAACGGGAACGCATCACCACTCTTGATGAGAGACTCGCGGACTTTTTCTTTGGCTTCCTGAACCGGCTGGCCTTTAAACTCTCCATGGAGCATGGTACCCTTATAAAACCCTTCCGAGTACGCCAGCTCCTTTGCCTTGGCGAGCTGAACGGCATCCTTTGGCGAGTTGATCTTGAGTTGTGTTACCAAAGTTGGTGCCGTAAGGTTTCCGTATGTAGGGGTTTCAATTATGGGAAGGATTTCCAATTCAGCCCATTCTTTCTTAATGCCGTAGTAATCTGCTTTCTTTGCGAGATCGACCACGGTCGCATAGTCGTCTGGGCTGTCTGATGGCACCGACGTTACGACGCCAGTTCCCTTAGTTGGGGAGACAGCGTCCATAGGAAGTATTCTAACCCCTGCTGTATGAACGGAAAGAGGTGCATTGACCAGCGTGCCAACAAATGTAGAGCCAGGGGCTTCCACCACTGGTTCGAGTTCACTCTGGTCCCGTGGGAAATTGTCGCTGCCGAAGAAAGTGCCTTGGAATGCCATGTTCCAGGCTGCGCGTTTAGTAACGACGTAATATTCCTTATCGCTGACCTTGTAGAGCCCATAAGATATTTTAGGCCCAAGGAAACAGCATGTCTGTCCATACATTGTTTCAGGGCGCAGGGTAGCAGGTACAAAGTACACATTGGCATCAGGCTCGATTTTCCCCTTAACAAGCTCTTGGGCAGTCGGCGACCATTCCTTAACTTTAAGCTTCAGAGCAGTGTATTCTTGGGGACCAACGCCTTCTCCCTCAGTCCGGTCGTGATCCATGCACGGCTGTCCGTCCTTGGGCGAGTAGATAGTATACCGATTTCCATACAAGATTTTTCCTTGTTCGTGGAGGCGATTCATCTGCCAGCGGGTAAACGCGTCGTAATAAGGATTGGCATCCGTGGTCACGAACTGTCTCCGCCAATCGATCCTAGCTCCGATACTATCGAGGTCTCGGACACACAGGGGCGGGAAGAACTCGAGCCAGTGGGCGGGGTCCGCAAACTTATGCACTTCTTCAAGGGGTATACCCAAAGCCAACATAATTTGGAACTGGTATTTCATCTTCACCGTTTTGGCCGCGGCCTTGCTCTTCTTCCCAGAGAACTTAGTCAGGTCCTCCTTGGTTTCCTGAGTAGGAGCGGGCGGTTCGTCCGCCTCCCCGTCTTCATCGGTGTATCTCTCAAAATGTTTCCCGAACTTTTTAATGTCGTCTACCAACTTGTCCGCACAGGCCTTAATAGGCATTCCAGTGCAATGGAAACCAAGAGGGAACAGAGCTCGCTTTCCCTCCATTCTAGCAGTCCCTGCCATGAATTCTACCTTACTTGCAGTAAAGCTGTGGCCTGCATGTAAAGTTCCATTCATATATGGGTATGCCATGGTGCCAAAGAATTTTGGGAATTTTTCCCGGAGGTCGGCAGCGGAGATTGAGCCGGGAGGAATTTCCGATATAGAGGGAGCATCGACCTCGAAGACCTTGTTCGCCTTCCATTGCGCCTGATATTTCTTTTCAATCGCAATAAGACTATCTCTTTTGTCCGTCTAAACCACCCCTATTAACAGTTGTCTCTACTCAATGTGCGGGGCAGCATCGTACTTACATTCTCAAGCTTCAATGTATTTTTGGCGCTATTGCTGGCGTCCAGCGCTGCAGCTGCAGCCGCGGCAGCTGCCATATTTTCTAGCTAAGAATGGTCGAAGGACAAACAAAGTGGTGGGAAGATGATAGGTTTTCTCGCGATTTGAACTTCTAATGGCGGGGTTTTATCGCAGGCGCATCGTGACACATCAAAAAATCCGCGGTTGGATAAAATTGCTGACTCATTCAAATCACCCAGTGCAGAGAGTCGGACTTTCTTTTGCCCGAACTTCAACTCCAAAATTTCGAACTCCGGAGAATTGTGTAGGATACAGTACATACAGGAGTTGTCGATTTCTTTCCACTGTTAGCTGGCGATTGTCTTCCCGGGTACATATAATCCGTCCCCAATTCACTTTGGCACGGCCTCCCAGTACCATATTTTGGTGGACGCAGCACAGCAACCGCCATCATGGTGTCCGTAGTGAAGCGGATGCGAGCGCTAAAAACTGTATGTTGAACCCTGGCCGATTCCTGCGATTGAAGCCGGGAATCCATGAAAGATATATAGCTAACTTAGTTTTGTTCTTTTTCTGTAGAAGGTAAACCAATTTACTATCTATCCGCGGGATTTTTTACACATCAATGCACGGAGCAAACCCGGCTCTTTATATCGATCCCCATCGAACTGATACCGCAACCCGCTGCTAGCGGTAGTAGATCAATGCTAACATATGTTGCTCACCCGTTCTTCTAGTTGCTGAATATGCGAGTCGGACTCGGTGCAGCTCTTCTTCCTCCAACCACATCCACCCCCGGACTCCTGCCCGTCACCCGCGTCCACCTCACCTACGCGCGCAAAATCTACGAAGGCCACGGCGGACCCCGGAAATTCTGGCGCGTCTGCCTCCCGCGGTTAAAATACCACAACCCCGCGCTCGCCGTAACAGTGAAACAGACAACCGAACAAGAAGGCCCCGCCATATTATCGGTATATTTCAAGAACGAAGCCGCGGTGGCTGCTGAGGCTACAGCTGCGACTACCAATAGCCAGCAAGCGACGACAGCCGCCGTTCCTCCCGCACCAGAAGGGGGAGAAGAGCAGCTCGTAGATGAGTTTGCGCCGCCGCCAACGGAGTCTGAGATTGTGAGGCGGATCAATGTAAAGAGGAAGACTGTCCGGCATATCTGGGATGATTTTAAGCAGATGACGGGCGCGGAGGATATCCCTCTCTCAGAGGAGGATAAGGCGGAGATTGAAGAGATGCAGCGACAGAAGGAGCTGAGTGATTTGGATCGGAAGCGGGTTGCCGAGAATAGGCAGATGATTAAGGATCAGGAGAAGTTGCTTGAGGCGGCGAGAGAGGATGTCAAGAGACTGAGGGCCGAAGAGTAGGATTCTCTTCAATTTTCCGGGGTGGAGATGGACAATATTTTTCTTGTCCGTTGGGTGTCTCTTCTCTTTTTCCTTCACTTGCGCCTTGTATTAGAATTTCATTTTTATGTACAACTCTTGTTTTCATTTTCCTTGGTTTTTGTTGGGTGGTAAGGAGTTTGAGTATGTCAATTTCTCCCTGTTTTGATTTATCTATTTTACTTTTTGTTGCATATTCGATCCTACCCCTTAAGGACCGGTGGGTCTCTAGATGGATCTTTATCCCTATCAAATGTCTGTATAGTACAATAAAGGAAATATTATTAACCCCAAATCTAGAATACCCAAATCTTCATCCGTACATTTTATTTGATTTTTATCTTTCATTCTTCCAAACGGAACTTGAAATTTTACGAGGTGGACAAAGGATACTGATAATGGGCTGCGAAATACTTCATAAATTAGACGTAAACGCGGCTGATGATATTTACAAAAAAGGCCGAGAACTTTTCAATCATTTTTTAGACAAAATATACTTATACCAACGCTTATCATATACGTAAGATATCACTGGGAACGTCCAGTGTCCCTAGCCATCGGCGCTCCCATCATCCCACATCCCCCCTAGTAAAATTGTAGACAAACAAGGTAGAAAGAAGAAAGCGAGAAAGAGGAAAATACAAGGCCCCATCCGAGGAGGCCGTGGTGAAAACGCAAATGTTCCTAATACATATATATCATATCGCTATAAGCGACGAAAATGTGAAATAGGGGGGTATTTTGGAACGGCAAAGGAGCTGGAAAATATATCAAAAAAGGTGACATAAAAAGTAGAAAAGGTAGACAGGGAAAAAGCAAAGGAGTACCTTTCGTCTAGAAAGTCGTGTTAAAAAGATACATAATAGTGGAAAGGAAAAGAGGGATAATGGAGACGGGAATGGTAAGCTGGGGGTGGCGGGGGTGGAAGTTTTTAGATCACAGGCTCTATGGTACTCACGAAGGAAGAGCGAAATGGGCAAATTATGAAAAAGTTTGAGTATTCCGGGGTCATGTCATTAGCCGGGGGAGACGTAAGGAGACATATATAGAAGTAAAAAGAGAAAATGTACAATTAAAGTCCTGATAAAATATAATAAAAAGTAACTGATTCAAAAAATCCGAGATGTCTCGCACCCGTCTAGTAGCATGCATGATGATACGAACTAGTTGATCAGGGTTATGATAACGCTAACCAGGTCTCACAACCCGGAGCAAACGTTCCATTGTATCTCAGTTCATTTTTACTTATCTCATCACGACTTATCGGGCGTATAGTTCGTTTCACCTAGTATACTTTGACCGGGGCCAACAGACGGGGCTGCTGGCTGCGGCGAGGGTTGTCGCGCGGGCGCTGCTTGGGATGGGGCAGAACTTGGGGGCGTTGGCTGAACCGGCGTACTCGGGGCGGCTGCCTGAAGTCGTTGATCGAGAGCCTTAAGCGCAAGTGCTCTCCGCCGCTCTGCCTCCTCTCGCTTACCCGAGCCTCTTCCGCCAGCCATCCTGCCGTTATTTAAAAGGCTAGGGAGCCCGGCTTCGCAACGCGCCATTGCTTGTTCGTTTCCTGATGCGATATCTTCTTCGGAGAAAGGTGTGCAGATACGCAGGGCGATGAGGATTGAGTATATCTTATCTGTGACGAAGGAGATAAGGGGTTGTACGGCGTCTGGGAAGAAGTTGGCAAAGGCGAAAGTTTCGCTGGCATCGCCTTTGATGCCGAGTCCGCTAGATGAGGTGCCTGAGAGGTCTGGTTGGCGTTTGTAGAAGCGGAGATAAGTCCAGCTCGACAATAGACCGAGCCAGCTCAAATTAAGTGCGACGTCGGTTCCGAGGATTATGCCGCCAATGGCGTTTAGAAGGAGGAAGAGGGCCGGGAAATGCTTGACTCGCATTTTGACAACGCCTTTAAGAATTGTTACGGTGTGTTCGGGGACCAGTTGTTTGAATGCCACTAGAAATGCCGCCAGAATCGATATACCGCCAGATATTCCTTTCGAACTGTGGAAGCAATTTTAGTAGCGGTTTCATAAAGCACGCACACTTCTGTAGGAGGTAGGAGAGCAGGGCTTTTGCGGGTAGTAGAAGAACTTACGCAATAGCAGCATCAGAGACAATACTCGACCACAAAATGTAGAGGAAAGTCACGATGATATTCGGCACCAGTGCAACAACAAGGATAAACGTCGCAAACTCCCGCGAACCCCACGCGCGCTCCAGATATTTCCCTCCGTAAAGTATAGTCGCTCCGGTAATGATGACGGTGAAAATATTTTGTTCAACACATGTAGCCGTCATCAGGGTCCACGGATAAAAGAGAATATTGGATGGAACTAGCGATAAATAAGGGATAGGTGCACCCGGTGAACCTTCATACTGTCTCCATCTGGCAACGCCGTTTAGAAAGGATAGAGCACAGATGGCGCTGAGAATCGCTCTTGTGATTGGGGGGATGTTTATTCGCGGCGCCATGACAGGCGGCTGGTTGGATGTGTTCCTATTCAAGGATGGGGGGTAGTAGATAGTTAGTTAGTTATTCCTGCAACAGATTCCACTGAACTGGCAGTGTTTAAATCCACTGTCCGTGGACTGCGCAGTAAACAGGATTTCGTCTATTTTGCTGAAGGTTGAAGTTGCAGCCGTTTTTGGAGTGATGGCTTCAACGAGCTTGAGGATAGGTAAGTTCCAGCAACAAACCGCAATCACATGACGCGCAAGCGCTTGACGCTTAAGCTCGCCCAATCAGGCACCCAAGCGCTGCCAGCGCGCGTTTGCAGGATCAACAACACATTCGACAACAACATCACACTACAACATTCAACAACATTCTCATTTAAGAATTACGAACTTATGATGGGGTCGATTAGTCATATATCTTCATATATATAAGAACCCTGAAGTCTACAAATGAGCTAGGAGATATCCTCCAATATCCCTGTCCCGCAACTCAGCATTGAATGCAATGATTAATGATTTCATGTTTCTGCATCAAAAGTCGGGCCGTGGTAGGTACAGAGCTACCTAGGTATTTAGGTTAAACTTTAGTCATCTTTGAAGCTTTAAGTGTTGGGGGTCCCGCGGTTGATCGGCCCTTCTACCAGCAGTGCGCTGGTGGTGATTGAGCTCTTTTGCCCCAGTAGCCTACATTAAGTTAGTTAAGGTTATGTTCGTTTCTTGCGAAGTTGCAATGGACCAGTCTAGCGTGCAGCCATTCGTACGATATTACCATCCATGCATCTTTATGTCTTCCCCTGTTTTAATGCTGGATAGTGTCCATGAAGCTCACTTCCTGGAGCAAGCATATCAGAGCAGTCTGCAGTCTGCTGGGTCGCCTGAGGACGAGCTCCATGATATGGAATTTACACGCGCAGACGAAAGTCGACAGCTGGTTTGAATGCATGCATCGATCTACGAGGCGTATACCGTAATATTCCTCCTTGCAACATATAAATTTTCTACTCTCCTCCATCTATTTATTCCGAATGTTTTTTTTACATACGTAGTAGTTGTTGCATCAGTCTCAGTGATCGAGGTTGGGAATCTAAAACAAGCTCGTACCGCCACTTTAAGGCTGATGCAGCCCGGCAACCGCAACTTAAGCCCACAGTCCGCGCCAAGCCCGGTAACATACGGTCACGGCAGCCACACACTCTAGCCCGATTGGGCCATCCAGCCCAGCGCTCGACTTCTTTCGCCGCCGCCAAAAACATCTTTCGACTCCAGACAAGAGACAAGAGACAAGAGACAAGAGACAAGAGACAAGAGAACAAGAACACATCTTGGGGATCTTGAGCCCTTGACGACGGAGTAACAGCTTGTAACCTGGCGAACGCACCAACAAGGGCACAGGAAACGAAGAGAAGAAACTGCGCCGACCAACCACATCATATCGTATCGTATCGCTATTCTTCTCTCCCTCTCTCAAACTCGGGCCCCGTCCAGATTTACGAATCGACCGCCGCCCCAGATCCGATCACGTTCGGCGCTCTTCGTCTCCCACTGGACAACCCAACCGGCAAAACCCCCCGGATCCGACGACCGCGAAAAGGACATATCAAAGTCCTGCATGACAGAGTTCGTTGTGCAGAAAATCCAGACGGCCCTTCTCCGATCAACTGTGCTTCTGGTTCCTGGTGTTCCTGAGGCGTTTCAACCAGTCCATCTCCAAAACCGCCAAAACCAAATTTGAACGATTCTGTCCAGAGGCCTGGATCCATTTCTTTTCTCCACATCGCCCTCGTTTCCCTCCACCTTGATTCTTCTTAACCCTTCTCCCCCCCTAGACATCCTACTAGTCTCTCCCAAATCCTAGACACCCGTGGACGCAACCCTTGCTCACCTGTGGGCGCGAGATCGCCTGTTTCAAGCACCAGTACCCAGCCCTGGTGGGTTTGCGTTCACGCCTAAAAAAGAAAAGGCCCATCTTACGTGCCAATCTTCAATTCTTTCCACCCCCCCAACCCCAAATCCAAGAAAAAACCTCGAAATCGTGGCGCCTGGCTTTCTCTTCCTTGTCTTCGATCTCTCTTAAAACTACGGATTACCTGGGCTAAGGAAGGTCCTGACTTATCATCATTTTCGGTTTCCTTGTCCTCCAACAACTCCGTCCGTTGTCGCCTGTGTCTTAATTTATTCTCCTTTGGATCGACAACCGCTTGGCGCCTCTACATCAAACCCGTCAGTCAAATCACCACGCTTTCCACCCACCCACCGTTTATCCTATCCTCAAACGCGTCAAGCTATAATTTTTAATCTTTGGATTGATTCTCCCGTTGCAGGTTCCTGTCGTTCATCCTCCCCCGGTTACTCTACCACCACTGCTGGTGGTACCTGAAGGTATCGCTTAACTTATTTCTCAACCTTGACTTATTCTTCACATTTGCGCTTCGGGATCACATCCGTCCTTAACTCTTGCGCTGGGGGGACATCGGATACCTGCCGTGGAGGCTGGTATTTTTTCGCTGATATTAACTCTGTATTTGTATTTCACTGCTGTTGGGCGCAGCGGTTACACATGTCACGATGGCGTATGCTGGCCTCACATCGCATCATGTCAACTACTTGATCTGGAGGTGAGTTCTGCGCGCTCTCTGCAACTTGGGAGTCCCGTCCACCGTCCCCACCCCGTCAAGGAAAGAAAAAACCAAAAACCAAAAACAACCTTAATTTATGCCACCATTATTACGATTATAAAATATACATACAATCAAAGCTAACTAGAAAATTCTTTTACTTAAAACAGATATTTACAGGAATCAGGTTCGTTCACAACGATAAAACTAATTTGATTTTTTTTTCTTTGTTTTTGGGTTTGGTCGTTAACCGCTGGAACCACCTCACGCTCGCTCATAGGCCACGGAGATGCCGCGCTGATGCTGCAGCGCGCCTGGAACCACAACCCCCAAGATTTTCCATTCGCATCATATATTAAGCCCCACGCCCTGATAGTGCTAATTCAGAAAGGGCTTCAGTACTATGATCTTGAGCAATCATTAGACCAGGCATGTCACCTTCTTGTCCGCATTGTTGCTATCTCGCTTGACACCTGCCAAGCTCTCCTAACCTTTTTTTTTCTTTCCTTGTTATAGGCCGGGAATGCAGTTTCCTTGAGTCCGGTATCGTTCTTTGGTCCGGTTGCTAGCGACTTGCCCGCTCCGGCGCAGAAAACAGACCATGGCGACGCCACAGATGGCACTGCTACTAAAACCGATATCCGCGCAGCATCCCCCAAACCAGCAACAGCCGGAACCGTCAATGGGCATGCGAATGACGTTTCTACGACACCAACATCTGGGAAGCCGCGGAAACCTACGAGTGTTAAGGACGGCGATGTGTCCTTGAATGCCGATGCAACACCCATGGAAATTGACAAGCAGGAAGTTCCTCAAGAACAAGCCCTCCAAGCCAAAGCGTCGCCCTCTGTCGAGCCTGTTGTAGATGCGGATGGTGATGTTGGAATGCGAGGACAAAATGAGCGGGAACCATCCCCACCGATTTTCACCTTAACAGTTGGTCAGAGCACTGGCGTTCAAATATCTCCTTCCAAGGCTGCCGATTTGGGCCCGGATACTACTCTTCTCGATATCGACGGTGATAGCCAGATAACCCAGACTCTATGGCGGCCAGATGATCCAACAACGGTTACTGCAACAGGTGACACATTTTGTGGCCTGTGGAAACTGTCAGGACCACGCACATCAAGTGCGCCGACTCATGAGCCTCTGGTCGAAACTAACGGGGATGGAACATGCGTTACCGCCTCAGGTTGGGATTCTGCGGGCAAGATGCTTGCAGTAGCTACCTACCAGGATCCACTAAATGGGAGCATTACCATGTATGGGCAGGATGGGACTGCAATAGACCTGCTACCAGATCTACCAAGGATGGTGTCTGGACTATACTGGGCTCCCCGAGGGCTGCGAATGGCTGTCGTTTTATCCGATGGGCAGCGCTCTGAATTCACGCTATGGGACCAAGCGGTTCGGCCCGACGAGTTCCCAGTACCACAAGTAGTAGACGGGCTAGTCCATGAAGTATCGTGGTGCGGTGATGAGGTGCTCTATGCGTGTGGAGATGGATTGGTGAATGAGTACCGTGCGGACACAGATATCCAACTTACCAAGACCTTTACGTCCACGGATGGACAGAAACCGTGGACATTCATTGGCAGCGCCATGGTAGCCGGGTCGTCAGTGGCCGTCACCGCCTCCAGCTCAACGACAAAAATCTGGGTTCCCACCCACGACATTAGCGTCAGCGACACCCACCATGGGGATATAACAGCTCTCGAGCTCCGACCACAGCCGCAATCTAGTCTTCTGCAAAAGAGCACATCACTGCTATTCGCTACCTCGTCCATGGACGATACGGTTAAGCTTTGGAATATATATGTGGAATCTAAGCAGATCCAGTGTGTGCACCGTCTATACCTAGGCCCGTCGTCGCCGGCACTATGCTCGAGATTTTCACCGGACGGCTACGCCATCGCTGCCGCGACGCATGATAAGCTTTTGATTTGGAGCGTGGAGCGGGGTGGCGTGGCGTTAGCGAAATGGACGGCCCCAAGGACTGATGTGATGATGAAAAGCGATGGGGATCATTCGGATGGGGCGGGAAATAATAACAATAGTAATAGTAGCAGTAGTAAGATGGAGGGTTTGGAGGATTCTACATTCTACCGCTCGTTATCGTGGGATTGTGACGGGAAGAAACTTGCCCTGGGATTTGGGAAACAGGTATGCAAGTTACTTTTTTAGCATTCTCGTGTCATTTGTCGTCACGCTTTTCGTCGAAAGCCTTTCCTCCACGTTTGGAATGATTGGTTGTTCTTTTTGTATTTCGGCTCCAACTTCTCGTCTGATTCCTTTATTTACTAACTGCTTCTATCACAGCTGGCCATCATCAATCTTCAACGATGACAACCGTTTGCTTTGCCAGAAATATTTATGCCTCCCCTACATGTACAACGGGAAGGGAGGGCCCTTTATGAATGACAAAGCGTCTACGAATCATGTCTGGATACTCTTTTTTGGCATGATCATCTCTTGAATGGTGCCGGACCTTTCACTTATTCTTATTCCCCCCTTACGACTGGAACAAACCGGAATTTTTTCGAAGCCTGCAAAAAATTATCAGCTCGGCCGATAATTGCAGATACTCCTGTCGAGCACGGGGTGGCCCTATACCACCATACCATGCTATGCATACCGTAGCCCAAAACCCAAAACTCCTCTTCTCTTCGCTAACTCCGGCCCCCTGGTCCTCCACCAGGCAAACCGAACAAGCATCCCAGGCGTGGCCCACCCAGTCTATCTGCTCTTGAACGAAAGGCACCATCTGCCACAGACGCTCAAGGAATTCGATCAACCGCCGCTCCCATTTAACCTCTTAGCCACCCTCCGCTCCCTCAAGCGAGCCCTAATCCTGAACCCTTCCTCGACCTCATTCCAACCGCGCAGCCACGCACTAATCCCATCCATTAGCCTATCAGTATCGTCGTTTCCATCGCCGCCGATCGTATCCTCCAGCTTCCTCGTTTGATTGCGATGATCCCACTCTCCGCCTCCCCTTCCTCCTACTAGGCCAGAGGGAGAAGAAGAATACCCCGAAGACCATGTATATTCTGAACTGCTGTCGACTTCGACATCCACTGCATCTCGCCGATGTAGTTGCTTTTTCCAGCGCCGTATCCAACCCTCCAGTCCACGCATGGTACCCTTTAAACCTTCCAGTTCGATTGCGTTCTCGATCTTCTCTGCGCGCCTGTTTTGGCAGTTTTTTTTATTCACATTATTTTTTGTGTTCTTTTATAAGGCAGCTCGATTCAACTTTTGATTATACCAGACAACATTGATACCCAATGATGATTTCTCTTTTGGATATTATCCAAATGTTCCATGTGATTTTCTTTTGGGAAAGAAGTCAAAATGAACGGGGCAGATCAGGCAGGGGCAGCCAAGGGCTTGAGCTTGGACATGTTCTTGGGAATGAAAAAAAAAAACAAACTTACAGCTCATCAATCTCATCCCCCATCTCCAGAATCCGCTGTGCGAGCTTTTCACACTTCACAGTAAACACAGCGTTCAGATGTAGACATTCAACCCGTCGCTGCTTGAGACATCTGGTGACGTGTTGCAGATCTCGCTTTATGGTATCTAGCTCGTGGTGGTCGACTGGCGCTTGGCTACTACTAGCCGCGGCGTTTCGGGATTCGATTTTGGGTGGTTCTGGTTCTGATCCGGAAACTGACTGTGGTTGAGGATTATGGGATGATGATACCGATACAGCTAATGCTGTGTTGTTGGATTTTTCATGCTCATCTCCGCCACAGGCTGAGATAGTAAAGGCGGGCGACTTGGTTATCGTTACCCCTGCTTCGCTCTCTTCGTCTCTTTCCTCTTCGTTCCGTCTGGCAACCCCAGCCTCGTCGTCGTCATCATCATCATCATCATCATCATCATCATCATCATCATCATCGTCATGATGGGAATCCAGCAGTAGACCCTCGATACCGTCTAGATATCGGTTGATAGCGATTAATTTTTGCGGCGACATTGATCGCGATGATGGCGTATATGGATGTGTTTGGTTATTGCTCTTCTTGTCATTGGTGTCGTTGACATTGTCACTGCCATTGTTGCTGTTTATATTATCGGAATCGGCCATCAAACGGGCAAGGCGCATGAGGCGTTCTGTCAGTGTTGTTACTGTTATCGTTGATTTTTGAGGTGGGAATGTCGTCGCGTTCATTGACATTGCCTTTGACATTTTTGCCGTCGTCGTCGTCGTATCTAGCGTCTGGGTAATATTTTCAGAAGAAGAGCAGTCCAGGTCGATCGCGGAGTCGGTAAACGAGTTGTTAACGTTCATGTTTGGGGAGTCCGTGGCTGATGACGATGATGATTCTGTTGCTGTTGCTGTTGCTGTTGTTGCTGGTATCACCGTTCTTGTTGTCGTCGACATCGCACCACGCCCACTTGAGTGGTGTGAATGATTAGGAGGTGTCGACATTTGAGAATTTACCCTTCCTCAATGCATATATTTTACTTTTCCTTCGTGTCGTTTCCTTGTATTACTGTTATTATATATTTATTATCCGTTCTTTTCTTTTTTTTATTTTGGCTAGGATTTATATTTCTCGTTACGGGGGCGGCGGAAGGAAGGGTTTGGATGTTATTTTTCTTTTCTCCCCCTTCGCTTTGCTTGCTTGTTGTCGGTTTGTGTATTGTATTATTGTTTGTAGATAGATACCTAAGGTAGACATTGGGTTATTACCGGTATAATATATTATTTATATATACAGAGTATAGTTCGACCCGTTTGGAAGGGGACAAGCCGAGAGGGCCGCCTGGGGATACTTTGTTTTTTCTCGGGGATTTGGAGTCGGACGGGAATATTGAATGAAATCGTATAAGCATATAAAGTCCTCAATATAAAAAAGGGCTGGTTTTCAGTAGATTCCAATTTTGATCCCAATTGAACCCAACATGTTACAATTCACAAATGGGAAGTTGGACAGAGAGCTTGTTCGACACAGGTAAACTGAACAACGGGATCTTCCACCTTGAGGTCATCAGCGAGCGACAGTCCCAGAAGCTGACGCTCGATCTCAATGGTGTCGATCTTGGCAAAAAACTCCTCCCGGATGTTGTCCCGCGCAAGTTTTCTCAAGAATTGTCTCTTGCTCTGAATAGTTCTCTCCAGCTTGTCATGTTGGGCGTGCAGAGGCACCCAATCATCAACCCCCGGGACCCCCAACAAAAATTTTCAGGAAGTAACTGCCGTTATCATTATCAGAATACAGATGGGGTTAATGTAGGTGAATTAGTCTAGGAGGAATGTTAGTACGCGGTATGGTATGGTATGCGAGTTAGCGAGCGAGCTAGCTAGGTGGGCCGGATCTGTGGGACGTCTGAGTGGTTGTATTATTATTATTAGATGTCGCGGGTGCGAAAAGGTGGGCGCGGCGCGCTAGTCCGTAATAGGAAACCTAGTCAGCCGAATCTATCTAGGTGGGTTGGGGCACGTGATCCCGGGTGGGTGCTGTAAGTTTATTAGTCCAATTCCCTTGCCAGCCTAATTTGCTATGCAAGGGCTACAACCTCCTCATGACATAGATACAAATAATTAAATGCTGAACTGCCCAAATTGAATCCCAGATGGTAAACAAATTATTGGGTGTTCAACTATTTACACCTCTCCTCAGAATTCTCTGCAGATCTACATGCGCGTTCCTAATGTCGTCGCCGCCGCTTTCCACAGTTTCCCTGGCCCGCATCCCCAGCGGGTTGCATGGTTCTCTTCTTGGATCGTGGCTCAGTCTAATATCACAGTGTCGGTTAGCACACTTCAATTCAAGTATGGAATGCAACTGTACCTGTTGGATTTTGATCATCAACTCCAGGAGCGCAATATATGAAAATAGGGTCCTGGCATCCGCGAGGATGACTGCACAGTCAAAGCCATCTAATTTATGAATATGCTGCCTCACTTCTTCTGTATATTCTTCCAGCCTCTTCCGGATGTAGCTCACCTCTTCCTGGCTAAGAGGTTTATACATCTGCTGAAAGGAATTATCAGCTGGCTTTCTGCAAGAGCTGTATGGATTGATCGAGTCCAATCTGGTACACATCTTGAAGGTTGGAGATTCAGTGGATTCCCGGAGAGAATGATATGGACGGCTTTCCCAGCGGCGTTTTCCTCACAGTGTATAGAACCATGAGCTGTCAATTCCCAAATACGTGTCACTGGTACCGGAGATGTCGGTCTCGTTGAACCAGTAGAGCTCAGGGAGATGTTTTCCCGAGAGTCAAAGGAGCTCTGTTGCTCGGCCCTCTCGGCCATGGTTGTTCCTTGGTCAATACTATCATTCTGTTCTGCGTCCAGATGTCAGTTGCGACCCATTATAAACAGAACAATGGGAGTTTCTGTTGCACCTGTAGCAGAACTTGAATCACTGCCGTATCTGGTATCCACTGAGCCAGGTTTTGATCCCTTGATCTTACGGGTTCGAGTTGTCCGGGTACTCATGATGGAAGTGTGGCGTCGGATAGTTTGCAAAGCTGGGATGACCTTTGTGAGGAGAAAAGGGAAGATGGAGCGATAGAAGCTAAGTGGGAGGAAGGCTGTCTTTATATGCATTCAGCCCCTGGGTCTACGCTAATGGTCCTCCTTCGAGACAGACGGGGAGTGGCCGGGAAGACCGCATCGTCCACCGAATTCATTAGCTGATGAGTTAGGGACAGTTCATCGAACAGATGAGGGGGTGCATTGATCACGTTCGGAGAACTGGTGCCTACGAACAGAGGGAGATTTCTATGACATCCACAGTACGCCCTCCACGCTTCGCGTGGATGTCTGGCGATGTTTACAAAATTTGATTAACTTGCATCGATTATTGAACTACGACAGAAAATCAAACAAGGCGGATCTTGCGCCAGATAGAGCACGACTAGAAGGGAAAAGGCTGTACGAATATAGAACATATTGTATTATATTTATGTGGATTTAAAAAGGCCCACGCCCCGGTGGGAAGTCCCAGAGTTATGCGAAGAAACTCTGATCATTATAATATTATGCTATTTATGACTATGATCAACCCTAAAAAAAAGGGAAGCTGCCCTGGTGCAGGTTATGGCTTCCCCGTGTGCATGACGAGCCCTATTTATCATCAATTCGGGTAGTCTTATTACCCGCTGTCTTACCTTCAACAATGGAGCCAACTCTCGGCTTCTTGGTGTGTCTACTAAGAATCTGAGACTCTCCTCCTCCTTCTTCGGTTGTATCCGCGAAGCTCCATTGCGTGTCTTGATACTCTGTGTGGTCGGACAATGTCGATAGATCAGAGTTGTCCAAGGTGAGAGCTGCCTCGGAAGCCGTCTGGCGCTGAGAGGTTGAATGAAGAAGCTGAGATTGGGCCTTTGCGTGCGTTTCATTTGCTGCCATAATAAACTCATCCCTCCTTTCCTTTGCCCAGTCCCGAGCATTTCGGTATGCGGATGCTCCGTGCCGAAAGGTTCCTGGGTCACTGGTCATTGACCAGCCTTTGAGCTGGGTCATAATATACTCAGGGTGACGGCCTAGGCCTTCGGGCTCAGTGAGATGAGTTGTGTATAGCTTGAGTGTACCGCCATGATAAGTCGATGTAAGAGTGTAAGCATTGTTGTCATAAGTTGATCCATCTTGTTGGTATGACTGAAGAGCATGCATACCCCGAGCTCCTAGTGCGCCATCATAGCAAGCCTGCCGTGTAGCCACAGCCAAGGATCCATCAGGGCCTTTTGCTTCCAAAAAGAAGTTCGGTACCATTGGAAGGTCATCCTGTGTTGATGGAATAATATGATCACTAAGTTTGTTGCGGATTTGACGATCAAGCTGTTCAGGACGCGCGCCATAGAAGTGATCTGGCTTGGCCTGAGCCAGTGTGCCATCAGTTAAGGGGGCAAGATTTCCAAGTGGGTATCCCCCTCCGGCGCATTTGGGATCATCAATGTCACCTTCAATGATAGGAATCACTGATGTTGTGACTGGTTGTTCTTTAGATGCGTGGGTATCTGCTCGTTTGAATTTCCGGAAATGTTCATCAGAGAAGTTTGATGGGGAAAGAGAGGATCGGGGTTGAGCTAGTGTTTTATTGATCTCCTCCCAGTTTTTTGGCATTGCTGGTATTCGACCATCTGGATATTCATATCCATCAGGGTAAATGCCATGATCAATTAGATTCTGCTGGAAGTTACGATTATAGGGTGTGGTGCTCGTGGACTTGGTGGTACCCTTTGTATCTGCTCTTGTTGATGGAGGAGAACCTGCGCGTCGCTTTCTACTCCGGGACCTTGAGCTCATTGCTTTTTCAAGGAAGTTTTCTGGTTTAGGATACTGGGCAATATTATCAGCAATATTATCAGCAATGGTGTATTCGCATGTATTTGTAGTTACGTACATTTCTAAGGTCAGTTAGGTCAGGTCCTCCCAATCTGGAAACCCTTTTTATCTGCTTTGAACAAGCTGCACAATCACGGAGAAAGGCCGGAGCAAACTGAAAAGGATTACAGTGCTTTCTCAGCTCAGTGTGAAATTGTTGAGTGAGAGGTTGATGATGGTTCTTGAGTGGTTTCAGGTGGCTGTTTCTTCGATCCAACTCGTCTAATGCATCTTTGGTTAACCAAATCTTTGACAGGTTATCCCAATATGCTGATGCCGACACATTGAGCTTCTGCCTTTTCCGAAATCGCGACCTGTCGGATGGATGGGGCTCAGGATGCTGACGCTTGCGAGACGGGTTGGAGGTCACTGAACTAGGCATATGGTTATAAATTTTTAGCTCCTTTATCATGCCAGGATGCGTCGAGAGCACAAATGTGCAGAGGTTCTTATAATAAACTGCTGGGAAGAGCATTATATTTCGGGCGCGTAGTTCGTTCTTGAAACAAGGGCAGCATCAGTCTCGCACTGTCAATTGGAGCTCGTTGCTCTGACACGTTTCGGAGTTAGCGCCTTGCGAACAAGAGAAAATATTAGCAATCCCCACCGCCAAGCCAATGGCCCAATCAGGGCTTCCTCCATATGCCACCATTTAGTGTTTTAGCTATATCATGTGACATCTAGCTTCCCATCTTCGGAAAGAACCTCAGATCAAGCACATTAGCCGAATGACAGCCTCATTTGGTCCTACCCATGCGCTGATGCCTAACGACAGTAAACAACACATGGTGGAATTATTGTCTTAACTCACAGCGCAGTGATGTCCAGTCCAATGGCATTACAGACGCTCTGGTTGGTCTGCTCCTTACTTAGATTTGGGACTTCCCGGCTGCGGTCTTGCTAGCTTGCTCCACTTGATTCGCTCAAGAGGCATGCATGCACTTGAGCTGGTGACGTGGTAACTAACTAACGGAAGCCCTCCCGTTCTCCCGTGCCGAGAAGCTCCCGTACAAGGTTCTGTTATGATTGGCCTGTTCGAGACGCTTCCAAAGCTTCCCGATAACAGAATTCACATCTAGGACATTAAATCGCCCCGGCAGGAAAGCATGTATCGGACGCTCCCTACTTCCGTATATTGCTCTGGATGATCAAACTGAACTTCTACAATTCAAGATTTCGAGTGACAATGACTTCTCAAGCTGACGGCGAGTGGCCGTGTCCCCACTGTGCTTTGACTTTCTCCTCTCAGACAGATGTGCAGAGTCACCTTCGACCCGACAAGGTTGATTATCCCTAATTACTGGTCATCAATTCTCTGGGCTTACTTTTAGAAGCAGTGGATATTCAATCTTATAGCTCAGCTAGCAAACACTCTATACACTCTGAGCTGTCAGGATGCTTATGTTACAAATGAATGAATAACCGGCGAGGCAGGCAGCAGTAATAGCTCTCAACTGACACTGAAATCCCAAGTCTCAGACCGGGACGCGCTTCAGCTCTGCTCTCATCATGATTGTGTCCAGAAAAGTACACCCTTCAGCAAAAGACAACATATGGTTCAGCACTATCACTCACGTAAGTCATCATTTTATATCATGAGAAAAGCTGTTAATAAAAGATGATGTTGCTTGCAATGTACATTGCAGTTGCCGCGCTTTATTTTATAGCATTGGTTGTTTTGAAAGTCACCTACAGCATTGTCCAGCAATGCAAGAAACAGGGAGCCCTCATCACATGCAGACACTGGGCTTGAGGAAACACCTGTTCAAGCTGGCTATGGATGACAAGTTGCTTCAAAGTGAGCAAAGTCAAGTTGCTTCTATTTGTGAGTTCATTCAATAGTAATTTTTCATTATATTCTAACTGTATGTAGTGTCTCACTCAACCTCCCCAGGTAAAATTGAGGTACATAATTTCAAAGGAAGGAAACGGCCGCATCTCAATGCCAGAATACTGAAATCATCAACAGCGGCACTAGATATACAGATTGCATCGATTCTTCAACCAAGTTCTCCTTCAAATGACAGCGAGGATCATCTTTCTGAAGAGCCTAATGGTAAATGTGGATTGTTTTTGAATATTCCATCCTAATACCCTGCCTTGCTTTCTCAACTTCCTCCTTGCAATTCAGGCCCGGGATCTCTCATGGAACTGAATATTTCAACTGAAGAGGCAGCTGTACAGCCCGCGACGCTGTCATCAACTACATCAGGGGAAGACTCAACTTTACCATGTACATTACAACCCAGCGACGAGGGTGGAAGTTTCACATTACCTGGAACAATGCAGTTGAAGGCCCCAGCGGACCTTCAGGCTCAGTCAGTTGATGATGTTGATTGAAATAAATTCTTTGCGAGTACTAGTACTAGTGTAGGAATAGGGCAGCAGAATAATAATATGAATATTGATACTGGAGACACAACAGAAATAGTCTTTCAATCAGGTTTTGATCATGCTTTCATTGAATTCTATACGAACAAAAATGTTGAAATGCAAGCCTGGGCGGATTTTAGTTCATCATTGAGTTTTGAGTGAATCAGAGTGTTTCGTTGAATACTATTTAATAATGCAAAGACTTGAAAATACATTTGGAAGTCTGAGCCTCCTCTTGACATAGATCATATTTCATACTCTTGTCAGTACGCCAGTAAAATGCAGGAACCTTCACTGTCTTTATGTTTCACCGGAGAATCCTGCCGCGCTAGGTTTGCATCAATGATAGCAATAATACCATCTTCCTGGGGAACTTTCACTATAGAAACCACAGGGGATTTCTCACCTTCGGTCTCTTCTCCATGAGACCCTAAACACAAGAGTGGAAATCCAGAACCTGATTTAATCACAATTAACACAGTGAATAGCTCTTGTCCAACAGGAGGTTTAAAAATAGTCAACAGATTGAGGAACTAGTGAAAGTAGACAAAACAATGATGAAGGCAAGGCTTATCCTTGACTGATGATATGTTAGGTTTGAGATTCTATCCTTCAATCAGTCCTGTTTCTTAGGTTTTCATGTTTCCAACTTACTGTTTCAAAATCATCAAAGATGGCATCACAGTCACATTTCACTTCAGTTGACTGTGTCAGTGAACTATGTATGAGATCTTCTTTGATTGTAAATGCATCTGCAGCATCTCAATGAGCTTCGAGGAAATCTTTTCTACAATGACGAAGCTGAGCCTACTCAGGTCACTGTCGGGGCTGTTTTGGGTGAGGGACATGACTTCTTGTATGAGAAATCGATCATTTCAAATGAAGACGACTGTGGTTGATGATGTGATGGAAAAGGTGATCTTGGAGCTTCTACCCTGCTGAAGAACATGGTTAGATTTAAAGGCTAGACGTCAGGCAGATGCACGATCAGAGCAAACGCCCCACCATGCTCTCGAAATATTGATTATCCTAGACATGACATATTTGGTGCCCAAGCAGTCGCCTGAAGAACTTTTTTCCACCTAGTGAAGCTGTCAGAACCACGATTTGCTTTTCGCAATACTGATTAAGCCTACTTGGCTAGGAATTCCTACCAACAATAATACATTTTACAATGATGCTAGAATTTTACCATGCTTCATCATGAGACTCTCTCTATCTTGAGCCTAGTTTGAGATATCCCTAAATCTGCATATTCCAAAGCTTTCCTCTCAGGGTTTTCCCTAACATTGTTGGGAAGTTCCCTTTCTGCAGGGGGTTTCCCATGCAATGAGTTATCCCACTGCTGCATGATATGAAAATTCTCACTTTCTAATCATCTTCAGAAGCAGCAACTCTTCGTCCTGCTCGGCCGCACGGGGTTCAAGGGATAACAAACCCGGCATCTAGTTTGTCTTCCTCTGAGCTGTCTACCAATTGAATATCCCATCTTCTCAACAACCGTCCCTTTTTGTGCTTCGACGTCGCAATGAAGGCAGGAACACAAGATCAGACATAGACATCTATAGCGCATAGTGTAGTGTGCCCAGGATGTTCTAGGCCGGTATGGACAACATATTCTACATAGATATATGCAGAGAGGGTTCGCTCTACTCAGTGAATGAACAGCATATAAGGACGCAAGATCTCCTCCGAATCCTGAGGCAATGAATTGACTTGATCAAGGAAACTCAGCAAAACTATTTTTCCATTCCAATATCCGCGAGCCGAAACACGTTATCGCTATATCATTATCGATCACAATGTCCAAACCCGCAAAGTCTAACGGCACCAAAGCTCCTCCCCCCCCTCGGACCAGCTACCACAGAGTACTCCTCTCAGTGGCTCCTCTCAGTGGCTCCTCTTAGTGGCTCCTCTCAGTGAACTCACTCCTAGGGCTCAATCTTTCAAGGGCTCACTCCTAGGGCACACTCCTAGAATGTCTCTTGGCACTGTTAAATGTCCAGGGTATTTGTTTTTGGGATTTATATTTCTTAAGTCCATCCTGGGATCAGACCCATGCATGTTGACCACAGCGGGGCTCACGCTTAACGGTCTCATAACCTGTAGGCTACTCTACTGGGGCAAAAGAGCTCGGTCACCACCAGCGCACTGCTGGTAGAAGGGCTGATCAACCCCTGGGACTTTTAACATTGTGAAAGCTTCGTGGGCATTCCTTAAATCAACGTTGACATTCTGAGTTACGAGGGACCCTTTATAGTCAAGGGTGATAATTTCTGCCTGCTTGGTATGTAGAGAGCGATAGACGCAAGTGCGGCTGGTTGCGAAATTAGATAGTCGTTTCGGTATGGAAGTAGGGAACCGCATGATGTCAAGACCACGGTGAGGAGAATACAACCAAAGATAATGCAGTTGATCCGCTTCTTGGAAAGATGGTTCAAAGTTGGGTTTTTAGATCGGGAGCGCAGGAATATTTATCTGGTAGTTATTATTTATTTAGTGTTGATGAAAACACTGGTGTCTTTCCGGTACTGCGCATCTCTGGCAGGGAATAATATTTGTTAGACCGCAAAACGGTAAACCGCAGTGGGCTGTCAATGTTTGGCAGAGAGGTTTCGGTTGTTTGATTCTGTTGAATGTTTGCCCCTGCCTCAGGATTCGGGGTGCATCTTGCTCCCTTTTATGTTGCTCTAAACGGAGGTGCTCGATTCTCAATTGCTATCTATCAACTTCTCTTCCCTCGCATGGGATTGTGCTACCCTGTATCTCAAATCTCTGTCCACCGTCTCATAAGTCAGGCCTAGGCGCGTTGTAGAAATCTTGGTGGAGAGTTGTTTTCAAAATATACCCGGAAATAAGATAATCCGTTCCGTTCACCTTGTTTACCACGTTTGCTCAAGGTGGCTTTCCGATTTGTATTAAAGCAATGTAGCCGTCCGTTCTGATGTTTATGTAGAATAGTTGAAGGTTGTATTGATAGATCTATCTACAAAGAGCTTAATATAGTTGTGGGTCACGTGATCTAGGGAGATCGCTAACCGCAACGGCTGTAACGGTCAACACTCTCTCTTGAGATAACAAGAATCATCAAGATAGTCTGTCAAAATCAAATATAAATGTAAAAATTAAGCATTCCCAGCTTTTCTGCCTGTAAGACCTAATAAAATTATGAATCATGCAAATGTCACAGTGTCTAGGGATTTAGTGAGTTTATTCACTATTATCTAAGTAATAGAAGTATATTTCAAATTAATAAGTCTCTGATTTAACTGTTAATATGAAAAATGAAAATGTATATTAATATACTTACTTCAGACTATAATAACTGTTATCTTTATAAGATCTATAATACTCTTATTATTAGTGAGACTCTGTATTAGAAATATGATAATAAAGTTAAGCTATAATAAGCTGTATCTGATTAATTATATAGACTATTTCATTACACTTTATAGATTTCTATTAAAAGCTTTGATTCTCAGTTACTAATTCTTAGCTGAAGAACTTACAGAATTTCTATTCTTTTACTCTGAAGCTTTATCTTGTTATGTATAAATATTTACTTTAATTACTGATTCTTACACTTTCTCTTTTTTCCTTCTCTAATGTTTTTTACTTTTATTATATAAGATCTATATATTAATACTGATCTATTCAGTGTAGACTTTTTACACTTGAAAAATATTCATTATCTTCTCATTAAAAATAATTACTTATTAAGAAGATGTTCAAACATATAATAATATATAAGAGATAGAGAAATAAATAATCAGTTAAGTAAATACTGAGTCTCTAAATAAAAGCTTACTTATCAGTTACTCTGATCTTATAATAAGATCTTATAAATAGAATAAGATTTTATAAGAGAATATCAGTAAAAGATCTAAAAGTTCTAATATCTTAGATATATAAAATATTTATATAATTATACTTCTTCTGATTTCACAGATATTATATATTTAATAAATAATATAACTATATCTACTGATAATATAAGAGAACTCTTAAACAGAAGTATAAATACTAGACTGACTGCTGAAACTATAAATTTCACATTTAATTTTATTTAATTTAATCTTATACATTTCTTGATGTGAATGCTGCTAAGACAAATCATTAAAAAAACATGTAAAGTGTGACAGGCTTAGACTGGCCGCCGGGATCATGAATTTCACATTTAGTCTCATTTAATCTGATTTCATACATTTCTTGATGTGAATTCTGCTGAGACTAGTCATTAAAAAAACATGTAAAGTAACTATATATCAGATCTTAAAATGAAATCATGACTTGAAAAAAATGAGAAAGTGATCTCATTTGATCTCATTTAGTCTCATTCTTGACATAAAGTTACTATTTTTAGACATTTTAAGGTTTTTTTTAGACTATTTTTAATTTTTTAAAAAAGTAACACTTTTTGATAATACTTATTAAAGTCATTTAAAGCAATAAAAATAATTTAAATTGAGAAATGAAAATCATGATCTCATTTCAAAAATATAATAAGAGTAGACAGTAAGTTTCACTGAAACAGTATAAGACTACTATCTAATATTAAAATCATGTAATGAAATCAGTTGAATTGATAATAAGACTATTAAAAAATCTGGTTCTGATTTCAGACACAGTTACATAGTTAGTCTAGACAGGCTGTGTGACGTGTCTGATTCATTATATAGACTATTCTGTTACACTGTATAGATTTCTATCACTTCAATTCTCAGTCGCTGATTCTCAGCTGAAAATCTACAGAATTTCTATTCTTCTGCCTCGAAGTTTCACTGCATACATCACTGTATACATGTATAAATATTCACTTCAATTGCTGATTCTCACACTTTCTCTTTCTTTTCTTCTCTAATGTTTTTCACTTTGTTATATAAGATCTATAAATATCATACTGATCTATTTAGTGTAGATCTCTTATACTTGAAAAACATTCATTATCTTCTTATTAGAAATAATTATTCACTGAGAAGATATCTGAATATGTAATAATATATAAGAAACAGAAAAATAATTAAACAGCTAAGTAAACACTGAGTTTTCAGATAGAAGCTTACTCATCAGTCACTCTGACTCTGTAATAAAATCTTATAAGAGAATATCAGTGAAAGATCTGAGAGTTCTGACATCTCAGATGTATAAGATTATAAGAAATCTTGCTTCTTACGGATTCTTTACCTCTATTTCTATTTCTTATGTAATTAATAGAGTTAGCAGCCCTTGACTACACACAACTATATAGACTGAAGTTTGTGAATACTATTTATAACTCAGCTTAAGTACTATTATACATTTAATCTCTACATTTTATCTTTCTATCACAAATACTTTTAGTAGTTAATAGTATATATTATATCAAGCTGTAAACATCTGAATAATTATCTGTAAGCACTTATTCTTACATTTCAAGCTCAGTCAGTCAGTAACTATCTATTATAATTTATAACTGAAAGAACTAGAAACTTATATACTTTAATCTCTGTAAACTCTACTGTAGACACTCAGAAGCAGTTATCTGAATTATGAATAACTCTTATAAAAGAAGTTTCAGAGAATTTATCAATTACTCACAGAATATTATTCTCTGTATCTGTGACAGAGAAAGTCTCTGAACTCATGAATAAATTAATCTCAGTGAAGAACATTCTTGAGTATCTTCTACAGAATCAAGCTATTTTTCTATAAGAAATACTTACTATCTGTAAACACTCTTGAACTGAGTCTCTAGACATAATCTTCAGAGATATCTATGAACTGAAAAGAAACTTTCTTAAGCTATAATCACTTAAGATTACTTACTGAATCACAATCTATAAAAGCTTTTACAAGTTTTTATTTGAAATTGACTTACAAGCTCAGCTGTGTGATATGAAAGATGAAGAAGTTATTATCTATATAATAACAGATCTCTACTACACTGAAGTCAAGAACTGACTGAATTATCTAGAGAATGATTATAAGAGATCTTACTAATCTACTCTCAAGATTTATCTAGAGAATAAGTTAAGAAACTCTGTAAGCTGAACAGAGAATATCTGAACTGTGATTATTAATATTAGAAAAAGAGATGAGAAATCTGATGAAGATTACTCACAGTACTTTATAAAATTATAATATGAATTAAGATCTATAAAAACAGAGTTCTGAAACAAGATCTGAATAATGATGTTTATAAAGAGACTAAATAAAGACATGTAGAATAAGCTTATTAAACAAGACTCTAAGTTCTTAACTCTGAAGAAACTGATAACTCTTATTTATTACTTATAAATCACTGTGAGAGTTACAGATCTGCAGAGAGTGAATCACTGACTGACTCTGTAAGAGTCAGAATAATGAAGAATAGATTTACTGAGAAAAGATAATAAGACATAGAGAGATTTATATATGACTACTGAGTAGAAAGAGAGAGCTTCATAAGCTTCTATGAACAGAGTATATAATAGAAAGATTAAGAAAAAGAGTCTCTACTTTATCTTTTCTAAATTAGAATATTGTGGCAGGCTGCGCCTGATCAATTATATAGACTATTTCATTACACTTCATAGATGTCTATCATCTCATTCTTAATCGCTGATTCTCAGCTGTCATGAACGCATATGTTTTGATCAGCTATTCTCAAATGCATATACTCTGATTCTCAGCTATTCTCAATCACTGATTCTTAGCTGCTATATATATGTATAAATTCTTCCACTCTGAAGCTTCACTGCGTACATTATCACATACATGTATAAATATTCACTTTGATTACTGATTCTCATACTTTCTCTTTCTTTTTCTTCTTTAACATTTTTCACTTTAATATATAAGATCTATATATTATACTGATCTATTCAGCATAGACTTCTTACACTTGAAAAACATTCTTCATCTTCTTATTAGAAACAATTATTCATATATTATCTTCTCATTAGAAACAATTATTTATTAAGAAGATATCTGAACATGTAATAATATATAAGAAAGAGAAATAAACAGTTAAACAGATACTGAGTTCTTAGATAGAAGCTTACTTATCAGTTACTCTGACTCTGTAATAAGATCTTATAAGAGAATATCAGTAAAAGATCTGAGAGTTCTGACACTCAGATATATAAGATATTTATATAATTACACTTCTTCAGATTTCATAGATATTATACATTTAATAAACAATATATCTAATAATAATATAGAAGAACTCTTGAATATAAGTATAGAAGTAATATCACAGTAACTCTGAGTAATATTGAAATTATAACAGTAATAGATAGCAGATATAATCAGCATGACTCAGTTGATAAGACTGGTAATCAAGACTGCATACATTAGAGATATGTGAGTTCAAATCTCATCACTGACACCTGTTACTTCTTACTCATGAAAGTCCTCATGTAATAGAGGCTGAGCTTAATTAGTAAGGCTTGATACGGGGTAGAACTCTCTACTGTAAGTCAAGTCACTAGTTAAGTGAGATTCTGTAAACACTTATCAGAACTAATATAAGATGTCAATGTTTCTGTAAGAATAAGTGCTCGCAGGCGATTATTCAGATGTTTGCAGCTTGATGTGATATATACTGTTAACTACTAGAAGTATTCGCGGTAGAAAGATAAAATGTAGAAATTAAATGTATAATAGCATTCAAGCTGAGTTGTGAATAGTATTTATGAACTCCAGTCTATATAGTTGTGTATAGTCAAGAGCTGCTAGCTCTATTAATTATATAAGAGATAGAAATAGAGATAAAGAATCTGTAAGAAGCAGAATTTCTTATATACTTCTCTCTCTCTAAGACTTTGTCTGTGAAGCCTTTCACTGAGTAACTTCATAGAATCAGCTCAGCACTGCAGTGATACTCACTAAAAACTCTTCATATCTATAAAAAATTTCAGTGAGAAAAAATCTCTTATTACTATGAAGAGAAAAGAGTCTGTTACTCAGTTTCTTATTCTATGAGATTCTTTATAATTTATAAATTCTTCTCTAACTATTATATAGATTCATCTTGTATCTTTTATATAGAAGAGTTTCAGTTAACTCTTAATTATTTTTATAAGATTCTTATGTAATTATTATACAGATTTATCTCACAGATGAATTACTCTCTATAAGATCACTCTCATTAAAGAGAAGTATTTATAAGTTAATCTTTCACTTATTCTTACAAATTATTGTTTTTTAATACTATAGAATTGTGAGGAATTTTCTATTCTTTTATTAACTCTATAGAATTATAGAATCAAGATATCTGCAGTCTGTAATCACTCTTTATAGTTATATAAAAAGATTCAGATCTGTAATTCATAATCACTCTTATTTACTAAAGTGATCTGACTGTTTCACAGAATTATTCACAGTGTAAATAAATCTCTCTAGAGTAGTATAAATATTTCAGATCTGTTTATAAAATCTCATCTTCTTTTCTCTTTTTCTATAACAGCTTTTATTCTTATAAACTGTGAGTATTCTCATTTATCTGTGAAGTGTTTTCACTCAGATAATAGAGAGAGAGTGTTTCTGACAATATCTATATATTAATTCAAGAACTTCTTAAGAATAAAAATTTTTTTAATTTCAATATCTTTATAAATAATGTTTGATTACTACTGAGCTTCTTATGAGTGTCTCTGTGACTTCTCTGATCACTTTTTACTAACTGATGAAGTGAGAACACTGCTGCTTATAATTATGTTCTCATCTCTCTCAGTCTCATTATCATATCTGATCTTCAGGTCAGTGGCCAACTTCATGTCTCTCTCAGATCAGTTTCTGGCTTTAAGCAGCACAGTTTCTCTCTTTACTGTAAGTCTTCTTATAAGTAATTTCTTACAGATTCTAGCTGACAGTTCTTGTAAAGCTCTCAGTATTGTCAGTGTCTTCTACAGTTTCACAGACCTATAACTATCTCTTCTCTGCTTACACAATCTCTGATCAGGTATATGTGAATATATCTAGATTCTCTATCAATGATTCTCACATCACAGTGCATTTTCACAATCTCATTATCAATGAGAGATGAGTTCTCAGATACCTGCAAAATCTGAGTAATTAAGATAATATAAATATCATGAATTTGTGATAAGAGTTAATCTGAACAGATGAGTCTTCTCTCTGTATCTTAATTATTTTCAGACTGAATACTTCAGTATAACTGAGAGAGTAGATACAGCTTTGTGAGAAATATCTGATCATACATACAGATAATCAGTTCTCAAGACTCTGTCACAACTGTGTATACTCTGATATTCAGCTTTTCTGAAGTCTGTGCATTTCTGATAATCTTCATGTTAAATATAATAATTATCTGTATCATGAACATGATACTCTCTGCTTCTTTAAAGAAAGAAATTAGTAGTTATGAGAGAATTGAGTATCACAGATGTTGAGAGTGTGAGTATAAGTTTTCTTTATTTTTTCTTTATTAATCTCTAAATTGTGTTCATAGCTCTGTTTATTTTCTTATTTTTTAGCTTTAATAAGAGCATGATTTCTTCTTCTCTTGTATACACTGTGAACTGTTCATCTCAGTAGAAACTCATCATCTTGTAGACTAGAGCTTGTAAATGACAGTGTTAATATCTTTATTATAATTAGATTCTTAGCAAAGACTGTATTATTCTGACTTATCAGAATTCATAGTATGAAAGTCATGTCTCAGCTTCTGCAGATATCTTATCTGTCTGAATAGTTCTCAAGTGAACTTATTCATCTTATCAGAATATTCTTATCACTGAATTTTAAATCAGAGCTCATAATCTTACTTCTCTGAGTTAATAATCTCTTTGATCTGATATTCTCATTCATTCTTTAGTACTTCATGAACAGAGTGATGAGTCACAGAGTTCTCTTCTAAGAATTTCTTATATTTATAAAGTAAAGAGATATAAAAAATATTGTGTATCTATAACTCAGATAACAGTTTTAATCTATAAAACTATAAGCTAACTTTCTTCATAATCTTATAAGACTCTGTCTATAAGAGATTCAGCTTCTTACTAGATCTTTACATGATGATGTTTTCTAGACTCAGTCAGACTCTATCATCTTTCTTGAAACTCTTTATAATATACTTGAAGTCATAGTATCTCTTCTGATACTCTTAAGTCTTTCTTAAGAATTTATAAGCTTTCTTCTGAATCTTCTGAATTCTCTCAGTCTGTTCACAGATATTATCACACTCTATAGTATACTCTCACAGGTTCATCAAGATCATCTGCAGATAAGTCTCAGTAAGTATCTCAAAGAGAGTTTTATCTGTACTGACATGCTTTGAGTTGTTATATACAAACTCTGTGAGTGATAATCAATGTACTCAGTCATTCTAATTATAATTAATAAAGCACTGCAGATACTGTTTTAATATACTTATCAGATATTCTATCTGATCATCTGTCTATTGATAAAAAGCTATGCTTAGATCTTATAAGATCTTCAGTATAGTTATCAGATCAGATCAAAATTCTTCTATAAAGATTAATTCTCTGTCTGAGATAATGTTTGTAGACAATTCATGCAATCAGATTATATTACAGATGAAGATGTGAGTCAAATTCTTTGACTTCAAGTTCTTACAGATGAGTATAAAGTGTGTTATCTTAATAAAGTGATTCACTATTATCAGCACACTGTCAAAGCAGGCATTATATATGTTCTTGCTTTCAGAGAGGCTTATAAGAGCATTCATTTCTAGCTATTTTCAAGATTCTTATAGAATGAGTAGAGAAGTAAGTTCTTTATATAATCTGAACTATACTACTCACAAATTCTGATAAACAGTACAAGAATTCACTATCTTCTTCATAAGTTCTCATATCTTCAGTCAGAAGTATTTTCTTATAAGTAACTTATAAGTTCTAGTATCTATAAAATGATCTGTTAGAGAAGAGTCATGATATCTTTTAATAAGTTCTATGTATAGAAACTCATTTATAGATACATAAATTCAGCTCTCTCTTTATAAGAGATTATTTAAGTCTCTTTAATTCTTTATTTCTGCAGGATTGATTTCTGCTGTGAGCAGTTTCTGAATATACTGAGTATATTCATTCTTCAGTTGCAGTTCAGACAATCTGAATAGAAGATCTTATAAAGACTTATACTCTGTTTTCTCTTACATCAGGTCTTTCACAGTACTTCTTAAAGTCTGCAAACTCTTCAGATTATAGATACTCTCTTCAAAGATTCTTACAGAGATTTTCAGAGTATTGACTCTCAGTATTGTAGAAAGTAGTTATACAGACTTCTTTTCTCTCTCTTCTCTCTTCTCTTATAGAGAATTAAGAGACTCTTCAGTCAATCTCTTTATAATACTCAGTCTGAGTATTCTGTAAAGCTTTTCTGTCTTCTCTAGTCTCTTTATATCTGTTACTCTGATCTTCTTAACATAGTCTGATCTGTGAAAGAATTCATCTGCTGAGTTCTTAGACTGACCGTGTGACCGTGTCTGAGACCAGAACCAGATTTTTTGATAGTCTCATTATCAATTTGACTGATCTCATTACACAGTTTTAATATTAGATAGTAGTCTCATACTGTCTCAGTGAGACTTACTGTCTACTCTTGTCACATTTTTCAAATGAGATCATGATTTCTACTTCTCAATTTAAATTATTTTTATTTCTTTAAATGACTTTAAATCTCATTTGAGTGTTACCAAAAAGCATTACTTTTTAAAAAATTAAAAATAGTCTAAAAAAAACTTTAAAATGTCTAAAAATAGTAACTTTATGCCAAGAATGGAACTAAATGAAACCAAATGAGATCACTTTCTCATTTTTTTCAAGTCATGGTTTCATTTTAAGATCTGATATATAGTCACTTTACATGTTTTTTTAATAGCGAGTCTCAGTGTGATTCAAAAGGTTGCTTAAGCCAGTGTACGATTACAGGCGTACGCCGGCTTCTTATATATTGTAATATCATACACTAAATTAATTAGTGGCTGCTATGGCCCCCTTTACATTTGTACACTAGTTCGGAAGCGGCCGTGTTATTATCTGACAGTCATACATTCTTCTGAACCACATTCTCTCTCACCAGATTCAGTCACGCTCATGTGACCATGTCATACACTCTAGCTTCATGTGAATTAGCTCATCACTAGCATTTTGCAATTATGTGACCTATTTCTGATTCAGCTAGCATTCTGCATACACTCTTACAAAGAAACTTCCACTATATTACATCACTTATTCACTAACTTTTTTCATTCTTCAATCATCTTCTTCATCATCATCATCATCAAATGTTACTATCTCATTCAAGATTTCTATCTCTTCTTCTGTTCAACTCTTTCTCTCTGTTCATCTATCACATTGTACACATTCCTGGTAATGGCCTCTCATTCTCATAATAAGCATCATTGTAGTGCTCATACCAGGCAGTTCATTAGCAGTAAGTGTAACATGTTGTGAAACATAGTCAGAACTTGTTTATCTTTTAACAATTATCAGAATATATTATCATGAATGATACATCCTCTTCATCTTCTCATATACTCTCAACTATTTTCATTTCCTTCTCAGTGAGTTTCTGATCATGTTTTCTGGCACAATTTTGCATGAACACAGATGCTGATGTTTGTTTTTATTCATGTAGAATCTTCATGTGTTGACAGATCTGCATTCATCAATGATAGTGAACCTGATGTTGAATCATTGATTAAGAACTTGAAGAACATGATAATGAAGAAATTGCCTGTGTCATGTGTGACTAGACTGACCGTGTGACCGTGTCTGAGACCAGGACCAGATTTTTTGATAGTCTCATTACCAATTTGACTGATCCCATTACATGGTTTTAACATTAGATAGTAGTTTCATACTGTTTCAGTGAGACTTACTGTCTACTCTTGTCACATTTTCCAAATGAGACCATGATTTTCACTTCTCAATTTAAATTATTTTTATTGCTTTAAATGACTTTAAATCTCATTTGAGTGTTATCAAAAAGTGTTACTTTTTAAAAAATTAAAAATAGTCTAAAAAAAACCTTAAAATGTCTAAAAATAGTAACTTTATACCAAGAATGGGACTAAATGAGACCAAATGGGACCACTTTCTCATTTTTTTCAAGTCATGGTTCCATTTTAAGATCTGATATATAGTCACTTTACATGTTTTTTTGATAGCCAGTCCCAGCGGGATTCACGCCAAGAAATGTATGAGACCAGACCAAATGAGACCAAATGTGAAATTCATGGTCTCAGCGGCCAGTCTATGTGTGGCCAGGTCTTCTGCATTTCTCCCTGTTCTCTCTGTTTCTTTCTCTGCTGTTCTCTCTCAATCTTCTACACCTGCCCCTGTGTCTGGTTTTCCTGCTTCTACTACTTCTGTTCCTGTGACTCTCACTCTCACTACTTCTGCTCTCTCTGGTTTTACTGCCTCTGCTTTCATTATCAGCTCTCTCTTTTTCAAGGAGATGTTGTGTAGGCTTAATGAACCATGTTTGTCAGTATATACACTTCTGTTCTTTCTATCAACTTCTAGAATAATTTATTGTATGAAGACTGCATATAACACAACTATCTGAAGCTCAGTTGTGAATGCTGATTATTACATTCATTTTAAATATTTGTGATGAGAGAATTGTTCATTCATTTCAGAGAATTGTTCTTCTTCTTAACAGTGTTAAGATTATAAGTCTTTTTCTTTTCATCTTTTCTTTCTGATACTGATTTTTCTATTCTTAGAGAAAATCATTATGAGTTTTACTGTGCATGAAGTCATGACATTCATAGATACTAAGAAACTTTTCACAATTATCAAATTCAATATTGTAGGTACATCTGCTCTGATAAATTCCTTCAGAATGATAGATTCATATCAGCCTATTCTCTGATATCTGTCATTCAACTTCATGATGCAGATGAAGAATATCTGTGTTTTCAGAAACAGAAATATGAATGTTATACTCTTTTACACTCACAGATGTGAGGCTTGTACACTCTGTCTGAGATGTCATTATGAGAATGAGCTGTTTGCATACTGTATTCTACTTTCTGCATTCTCTCATGTCTCTCTCTCTCTTTCTGAGAAGCCTTGTGCATGTTGTAATTGTGTGTACAACTCTAAGATCAGTGAGTGTTCATTCAGTAACTGTTCTTATCTCTGATTTTTCAATTTTCATACACTAATAATGATTCTTAGTTGCTTCAGCATCAGAGATCATTCTAATCAAAGATGATAACACTGCAGAGACTACTCTCTCTCACTCTCAAGCTTCTCTCATCACTTTCTCTTTCTTCTCTGTGAGAAAGATTGTGTACACATCAGATTATAAGCATTCAGCTCTGAGTGACTTCTGCTGTCATTTATTCAGTTCTGTATCTTCTTCTTCTTCTGTTTCTTTCATCTTCATTTCTCCTGTTCTGGCTCCTGGTCCTGCGGGTCTCATGCTCTTCTTTAATTTTTCTACATGTACATGTATGCATTTCTATATTGGTATTCCAGCTAATCTTGCAATAAATGACATTAATATTGTACACAGAGTGATAGAGGAATCAGAGATATGTACAGTGTTATTACAAGAGTGACTTACAGCTCTTGAATTTCTTACAGATCTCGAGTTTTGAGATTTTCTTTATTTTTGATGTTTTTCAGGTGATGTGGCATTGGAAATAGATTAAATATATGATATATGAAAATGAATGAAGTGTATATGATAATATTTATCTTTTATAACTGACTCTTACAGTTGATAATTAATTCATTATTTCTTTTCTTTTCTTACACTTTTTCTTTATCTGCTAGTCACTACTCTTACATGATCTCTATATAATACAGTATTCAGTGACTAGATTCAGCAGCTTTCATCTTTTGTAATTCTGTCTCATATATTATACTGTCTCTCTTCACCCGCTCAGACCACTACAGTGAACAGCTTATTAAAACTAATCTCATTCAATCTCTGAGCATTCTCAGAGGTTGAGATGGCTTGATTCTATGTATTCACAGATGTTTTGAATAGTTCATTCTCTGTAATCTTCACAATTGAACTGATGTAAACAGTTGAATTCAACTCTGAATTTCTTTTTCTTCTGCAATCTGACTCACATATAAGTCTGCTGCTTTGAGACTGTTCTTTGCTGTGTTATATCTGCTGTCTGCAGTGTGTTATTATACAATCAGCTACAGTCTCATCACTTATTAAAGTGTAGTATTTATCTGATTTCTTCATTACTTCTCATTCTTTTCTTATAATTATGAAAAGATCAGAATAAGTGAGATCATCTGATTTATAAGCATCTATGATTTCTCTTATCTTATGAGACTTTTCAATTATAAGTCTCTTCTTTTTCAACACTGATAATAGTGCTGTAGATGATTATAATTCACTTGAGTCTTGCATCTTTACTTTCATAAGTCATGAATCATTTATTAAGTTGCATAAGACTCATTCCTCTGATTCTTTCAATGCATACATTCTCAGAGAATGTGATTTAAGTATTTTATATGACTTAAATCATTCAGATTGAAACTTCTCAGAACTCTCATTGTATACAAGAACTCACATTCTCATCTTGAGACTTGATTTCTTAACTAGTGAGTCTTGTATTCTTTTTGATTGAATTGCTCAGTTCAGAAGTAACTTGTTAGCTTTTGTACATACATGACTGATCTCTTTCAATCTTGATTTTATGTCTGTGACTGTTGTGTCTGCAACTGCTACTGCTGCATCTGTAACTGCTGTTTCCTTCTCTATCTTTTTCAAAGCATTCTCTGAGATGCACGGATGCAATTCATACAACAGATAGAATGATGAATGCTTAAAGACTGCATACTACTGAATTCACATAACTAATAGTGTCTGACTGAGATATTCATTTCATAATCTTATAGACTTGCTCACTAGATATTTCATCAGCATGTTACTCAAGATTTCATTCAAGTATTTCATCTTTCTGTTCATCTGTGAATGATATGGCATTATTCTACAATGTCTTATCTGTAACTGACTCATAAAATGCCTCACTGCTTCTTCTACAAGGTTCATACTATTATCAGTTAGAATCTCATATAACATTTCATAGTTGACATAGATCTCATTATGTAGAAACTTCATCATCATCTTCTCTGTCATCTCTGAAACTGCTTTCATAACTGACCAGCCAGTAGTGTAATTAATAGCAGTGATTATTCATCAGTTTTCATTTGATGTTTGCAGTAATATGTCTATGAGATTCATCTCTCATCATTTGAATGACTGTATTATATACTTCATCTGATGTTACACTTTCTTATATTCTAACCCTTTCTTAGATCCTTTCATAATCTGATAATTCAGACACTCATGAGTATACATCTGAATGTTCTCAGTCATGCTTGACCAGTATACTCTTGATTTGAGTACACTCATGAGTTCAGGACTTTCTAAGTGACTGAATTCCTTGTGCATGTGAGTCATCAAGTCATATTAAAATAAAGATTCTAGATAGAGAGCTTCTATGTATTCTAGATCATGATAAAGCACAATGTTGTTTTTCAATTTCCTCAGCTTGAAGTTCAGAAGCATCTCTTCTACTACTTTTATAAGACACTTATCATCTGATATTTTATCATTCTTTAAGCAAGAGATCATAATGTTCACTCATTCTGATTTCTTGCATTCTCTCAGCATGTTTAATATGAATGTTCCTTGTGCCTGGTTCACAGAATTCTCATTCATGAAATCAGGTCTGTAACTGATTGTGTCAGATATCACAGTGTCTGATCTCTTTCAGTATTTGATATAAAGATTATACACTTGAAACTTCAAGATTCAACATGCTAAGTGTTTGAAAGATTTTATCATTGATTATAGATAGACAAGGCTTTCATGATCTGTGATCATCATTGTTATATACTCATTGTCAATATATCTATCTCACAACACCAGTGTGTGCTTGATTATTAGTAATTTCTTTTCATACACTGAGTAATTGAGCTCAGTACTCAATAGTTTTCTATCATCATATATCACTGAGTACAGCTTGCTGTTCTTACTCATCTGTAGAAGAGTACCTCTGATAGCTCATTCAGATGCATCTGTCTCAATGTAGAAAGATTTATCATAATCTGATTAAATAAGTACTGAGAATGTTATTACACATTCTCTCAGTGTGAGAAAAGCCTCTTTACATACAGTATTTCAGATAATTGAATAAAACTTCTTCTTTCACAGATTTGTATCTGTTTCTCTTAAGAGATCTGAGAGTGATGCAGATATTCATGTGAAATACTTGATGAATCTGCAGTAGTATGAGACTAACTCAAGAAACTGTTGTATATAATGTACATTTCTCAGCTGCAGTCAATTCACTATGATATTCAATTTCTTCAGAATGAGATGTATACAGTCATCACTCATTATATATTCTATAAACTTCAACTCTTCTATTTCAAACACACACTTGATTAATTTAATATAGAGCTTATACTCTGTCAGAGTTATAAGCACTTTATCAAGATACTTCAGATATTCATTGTATAAGTTTGAAAAGACTAGAATGTTATCAAGATATATAAGATATGAGATTTTATTCTGTTTATGAAGAATCATATTCATCATCATTTAAAAGATAGCAGGCACATTTATCAGACTGAATGACATTATCAGGAATTTGAACTTCTCTCATTATATATTAAATGCAGTTCATGAGACTGATAGTTTATCTATACAGATCTGTCAGTATTCTGAGAGAAGATTAATCTTCAATAGATATCAGGTGTTTCTGACTGTATTTAACTGTTGTTGAATTCATGATAGTGAATATTCATTCTTGATTGTAAGCTTGTTGAGTGCTTGATAATCAATACACATTCATCACTTCTCACTTATTTCTTTTATAAATAGAACTGAAAAGCCTCACATGCTTGATGAGAATCATATGAGATCACATTCTAGAAGGTCTGTGATCTGATGCTTCTGTTCTTCAAGGTGTGTTTGTGACAGAGAATATGCATTCTGATTGACTGGTTTTGTATCCTCTGTGTCAATCTCATGTACAAATTCTCATTTCAGTGATAATTCTGATGAAAGATCTGTTCAGAAGACCTTTCTATACTTCTTCAGAAGCTTCTTCATACACTTGTTCTCTCACATATCTTTTATCTCAGTTTCCTCTGCTTCCAGGTCCTGTATGACATACAGAATGCTTTCAGATGAGGTCTTATGAATCATTCTCTTTACTTGTTAATGTGTAAGCAGATTTAACTCTTCTATATCAGGAATATGAAATGTCCTTCTCATATCAGTTGATAGAATTGTATGAACTGTTTTCTTTCTATCAGTTAACTGCATATGACATGTACATCATTGAATCTGTGAATTGAATCTTTGAAATCAATCAAGTTCAAGAATAAGATTGTATTTCACATTCTGCAGCTCTCGCGCTCAAATATAGTAAGATTATTCTTCAAAGTGCAAGGAAACTCTTACTCTTACAGATAATATTAAATATTAATTATCAGATAATCTTATGCATCAGAGATTCTTCACTCAGTGAACCTCTTTCAATCTTCAAATTATATAATTATCAATATATTGTATAGAAGCTTCTGTGTCTGCTAACACTTTTGCAGCTATCTCTCAATTCTTATTCAAGTGCTCTCTATACATTAATATTTTAGGTCTCAAGGTATTGAGATAAGTGTTCACTTCATCATTCTCATCTACACTTCATTCAGAAGTCTGCTTCTTCTTTATATTCACAGAATTCAGAGAATCATCTAACACAGACATCTCTTTCACTTTGAAGACTTTTCATAGAATATCAGTGAGTGTCTCTGAGCTCACTGATTCTGCTAGTTTTTTAACTCTCTTGCTTCTCTTGACTGTGCACACTGAGTGCAATCTTTTGTATCATGATTTTGACATCTGCAGTTGAAGCAAGCTTGATACTTACAATATCAAGATTTTCACTCAGAGAATCTCTTTTTCAGAAGATTCAGCACTTTAGTGATAACATTCAGATCTAGATTCATCACATTCAAGTATGTAACTTATGTTATAGAAGTCTGATTACTTGTTCTTCACTGAGATATACTTGATTGCAGTATTTTCTATTACAATTGACTTGCTTATTCCTGTATAATAAGAATATTATATGCTTTCTTCACTGTATCTAGCTGTGAGGTTAAGCATTTTTATTCCACTCTTAACTTGAGTATAAGATCATGAATGAAGATCTATAAACAGAAAGATATTGAAAGCTCTTCATTCAATATAAGATAGTATAAGCTGAAGTGTGTGAAATATAATGTAAGATTACTCACTTATCTACA